GTCAAATGTGAAAAAGCAGTTATAACTTTGGGTTTATTTATTATAAGATCATTTCCCACAAAGGAACGATGCTGTGTGCACAAGAAACTGAAGACTGGGACAAATTGTGTTCAGTGAAACAAACAAACAAACAAAAAAAAGTTGATTTATACATTTTACATAAAGTTAAAGTTTCTTTTGTCTCAGCAGCAATGATACTCAATATAATAGGACTTTGAAACAAACAAACAAATAAAAATAACAGACAAAAACAATAAAAAATGAGAAAAAGCACAAAAAAATAACACATATACAAACAAATAAAATATGAAGGACCAAAGAGAACAAAAAAAAAATAAAGCTTGAAAAAAAACCCACACATTTTGTTATAAGTTAATGCTACATGTCTACTGAACAGAGTCCTTCTTGTCAGCGAGGATTGAGCCTCTTTGGAGCAGTGGATCTGTCTGTGGTCCTTCCAGAGCTCACCTCTCCAGAGCCCACCTCAGCCCCTGAGAATAAAACCAAGAAACTCATTTATTCTCTGTAACTCAGTTCTTTAGAAGTCTTATACAACTCAAAAGCATCACTCACCTGCTTGTGGCCCTGCAGCCTTGAGCTTGTTGGCGATTTTGGCAAAGAACGTGAGGGTGAGACAAGCCCCTGTCTCCCTGTCACAGATGCCCCCTTTGCAGCTGCACGGCTTGCGGCACTCGACCCCATATGTTCCAAATGGGCAGTCTGCAAAACAGGAAAACACCAGCTGTCATTACAAACTCCCAAGTCTAAAACACGGGATGGGATGCATTATAATTATCCCATGATGACCATGAACAAAAGGCTGATACTCCCGGAGAGGAAGAGACTGAAACGCAGTCCCCGCAGCGTGCACGTACCTTTACAAATCCCGTATTCGTCTCCAAAATCATCCTCGTCCTTGTAGAACTCGCAGAACAGCCCGGGTCCGCACTTCACGCCGTGCATGCCCGACACGGTGCGGTAGCAGTGCTCCCCCCTGGCGGCCGCGCACACCTGACAACAGCCGCAGTCGTCCAGGACCGTCCGCGCGCACCGCTGCGTGCCGCCGCAGCGCTCCGCGGTGCATCGGTCCGGACAGTTCACCGCGTACTTGGCGCTGGCGCCCCACGCATCGGCGTCACGCAGCACGAGCGAGGAAGACAGCATCGCGAGGAGCCACAGAGACATCACTGAGTGTGGAGGTTGCAGGGAGGGAGGGTGCTGCTGTCCTGTCCTCAGGAGGACTGACCTGCGCTTCATCAGGCTGCGCGGTTATCAGCCCGGAGCAACTTTGTTTTGCGCACGGAATGCCCTCCGTCAGTTTCCTCATTCCGGTGTTGTGCTCCGTTTTTTGTTCTCTTTTTGTTGTTTGTTTTATGTTGTTGTTGCTCAGCCCCCCCTTTTTAGAAATCCGGCTTGGAAGTGGGATTGGACTGTGGACCATCCAGGAACTGAGGGTGACCTGATGTCACGAGTTATCTTTGGTTTGTTTGTGCCTGACTGACGGAACTCCTCCACCCCTGACCCCCCCTGACCGCTCAGGTCTGTCGCCACATTTAGATCACTTACATTGACCAAAACACAATTTGAATTGATGGCTTAAAAAAAAAAAAAACATCTATTTTTTGTGCTTTACCAAAAAAAAAAAAAAAAAAAAAAAACTACAGTAATTGAAAATGCCCTGATTAACAGAAAAGTAAAGCTTATTGTGAAGTATTCAATGATAAGCGCTTCCAACCTGCAGGTCAAGCTGTGCATATCGCCCGCCGATGAGATGTCACGCTCACTGTTTTAAATAACTCTCAGCTACTACCACATCAGGTTGTAGCTCAATTCCTGTCAAACTGACTGTTATAGCCATTTTTGTGTTTGCTGTAATGGCCATCTTGTGGATGATGTTGAATAGCTGCAACAGTCATTTTGTATCAGGATGACTCTAAAACGTTGTCAGTTTTAGATGCACACCACTTTCTGAAAGTTTCATTGAAATCCAATGAGTGATATTTTGCTAACAATCAGACTCTAAAGGTTGTTGCTTCAAATTTTCACTCAGAGCTACAATCATCACTTGGAGTATATGTTGTGAATAATGCTCAACTGCCACACCAAACTTTTGCCCGATAGCTGTGAAACAGACTGAATTATAGTCATGTTTGTGTTTGGCAGTTGTCTGTGGCAGCCATCTTGAACTGTTTGACTCTAAATATTAATCAGTTGCTCATTCACTGATTAGATCCTGAAAAGGTTATGAAAATCCTACCAGTGCTTCGAGAGATATTTTTCCAGCAAGCACGAGCATTAGGAAATCGTTAACTTTAACTTCATCATAAATTTAAAAACCTCCACCTGAACAAAACGAGTGCATATTTGACCACAAATTTGTGCACATGTTTCTGAGCGCTGTGCAGAGTGCATTAAGTCTCTCCATGTCAAACAACCCAGCAGTGCGATGTTATTATAAGAGCGCTTCCATCCAAGCACTCTGCATCATTCTGTTCATTAGCACACATTGGAGCCATGATGCCCAGTAATGTAGAGACAGTTTATTTGAAATTAACTAAAATAAACATTTAAAAGACATTTGAGATAAACTCAAGATTTAAGCTCCAAATATGACTTGATCAAAAATTTGAGTGTTTGAGACTTAGGTTTAGCTTCATCTGCTATGCGTCTGTTTCTTTTTGTTAGTTTAATATTATTTCATTAACCTGCACCGTTATAGAGTAATACTTTTTATTGTTGTTTTACCCTCATCAAACTGAAAGTTTATCTGTTCTAATAATGTCTATGTTCCATCTTTTTGATAAGCATTCTAATGATAAAATTATCTAAATTAATTTAGTATAATCACCTTTTTTATTGCTAATATGGTTAAAACATGGATGGGTCCATGCAGACACATTCTGTCATATTTTGGTTTTGTTTTATGAATTTCATCGACTCTTAACAAAATTGATCATCTTAAATTACACCTGTATCTTAATTGTGAGTTACAGCATTTACAATCCAGCTTCCAGTTTTGCTGCAGTTTTGCTTTGACTTTTAATTTAATCAGCAATACAATAGTTCAAGTTGTTACCTTCTCAACCTAAAGTTTCCAACTCTTCCTCAACCCTGAATAGGCTGTGTAAGGGAAAAAATGAATCAGAAGGTTATGGTTAGTTCAATTTCATGGATTAGCTCTATTTACAACATTTTACTTATTTGAACCTACATGCTTATATTTCAAACCATTCTTTGTGGGGAAATAATAGCTGAATCTATTTCCCAGATCATCAGCCTTAAACTTTACATACAAAGCTACAAAATAAAATGCATATTTTTGTTTTGTTGCCTGAACACATGTTTTTGTGCTGAAAATGTTGTAGTCCGAAATTAAATAATTTGAGTTGAATAAATGGATATTTTTAATCCCAGCTGGAGGCAGAAAGTGCTAGTAGTGGTGGTTTTAGTATATAAGACCATTATTGTGTATTAAAAATATCAAGTTGTTACATAAAGACCGTTTTCTTATTATTTTAGTGTTTAAAATCCTCACATAATTTAACAAACGCATGCTTTAAATTAATGTAAATAATGATAAATTTTGGCCTGTTAAGAGCAAACAAAGAGAGTAACAGCAATCATCTATATATTGAACCCAGAATAGACTAAATTATTTGCCTCTTGTTAACAAATTAACTTTTTCACGAGAGAATTCCGCTTTGCGTAAAAAAAATAAAATAAAACAAAAAAATTAAGGTAGACAGAATACGTTCCTCCGGGACACGCGGTGGCGCTGCAGGAGTCCTCCGACGCTGCTGACGGCAGCTCTTAAAAACACCACCGAAGAAGAAGCGGGGAGCGGAGAAGAAGGCTGACATTTGCGTCCAAGGGAACCTTCACCGGGACGGGACGGCTACCGCAAACCGTTTATTCCCGGAGGTTTACCGTCAAGGTAACTTAACATACCTGAGTCCTCTTTTATTTTCACCACAGCAAGGCTGAAATACAATTTAATCGAGGTTATCTGTCTAGAGGGGGTGTGTTATTTTCTGGTAGCTGTCAGAAAACAGGCGGATGGGCTTGGTCGGCTCACCGCAGCTAGCTCAGCTGTCACCGCATATGCTGCTAAATAATGACACCGGTCTGAATGATACGACGGTGTCCTCCTCTCAAATTCACATATTACTTCGTATATGTTCGTGTAACCCTTAAAGACAGACATGTCAGCTATTAAACGTTCACAAAATTGTTAAATGCTAAAGTAAGAAGCAACCAGACTGATTAATGTTACAAGCAGTTATTATATTTCCCCAACTTACTCTTGTTTGTTATGTCTTAATGCTAACTTCTAACCTGGTAGTTTTTAAAAATCTTACTTTTGACCAGTTAAATGCTAGACGTTCCCTGTTGTTTGGAATTAAATATGATTTATTCTCATTCTCTGGGGTTTGGACTGACTGGTCCACACTCGGTGTCGATGGTTGTCCTGGCAACAGCATCCCCTGATCAACCCTGCAGCTCATCCTGCAGGACTTTATATTTACATTTCTCTGTATGATTTCAGGTTACCCTCCTTCTTGGGTCAAATAAAGAGCTCTAACCTTGTAGCAGAAGCATGCATCACCAGGAACTAACTAAAATTGAACGAGGATCTTTAAACTTCCTTAGATCTTTGGATGAACTGCCTTTTTTCCTAAATATTTATGTTAAAATGGTCTTGTGGTTTAGAAAAACTGCTATATTTTAATACTGCAAAATTACAACTACTAAAAATGGTTATCTAGTTGCAGTGATGTGTTAGTTTCCCCCCAAATAGTATCACATGTACTTTTTGTTTGTTTGGTATTGTTTTATTGCTGGCGCAGAGGTTAGAGAAGGTGGACCTGTGAATGGAAGATCGCCGGTTCAACTCACAGTACCGACAACATCCAAATATGGGTGGGATAGGTGAAGCACCCATACCTGCCTCCACCCTCATTTTCCCCACTCTGAGCCCTTGAGCAAGACCCTTAACCCCCAGCATCTGATAGATGGCAGCACTCTGCTCCACACAGAGAGCTGTGGTAGCTCGGTGTTTGTGGTTACGTCAGGAAGGGCATTCGGCGTAAAAATAATTGCCAAGTCTTTGTACGACTTAGTTCGCTGTGACTCCTAATGCAGGGAGCAGCCGAAAGAGGAAAAAAAAGGTATTGTTTGATTTGATCAAATTTTTTAGTCTATATATATTTATTATTATTAATAATAATGTGTTATGTATTGTCATCATGTTCCCATACAATGGCAAAATTGGCTCTCTGCATTTGATCCATCCACCCCCGGATGGTGCAGCGGGCGGCTATTGGGGGCGCCCAGGGAGCAATTGGGGATAGGGTGTGCTGCTCAGAGACACCACAAGATGTGAAATGACTAGGGATCGAGCCTGAGGCTTTTGGGTCTCAGGTGGGCTGCTCTGTCTCTACTCCTTCTTGGCCCCCATTATTATTGTGATTACTGAAACATTTAGGTCAGTTTCATATCTGCACTTTTTGCAACATACATTTTTGTTTGCTTAAAATCAAGAAGCGCAGGATATGTCAGCATTAGCGGTAATACATTTGAAGCTTGGTGTTGTAAAAAAGGAAAAACTAGAAATCAGGAAATGTTGTAATTAGTAACAGTTACTTGACGTTTTATGTTTCTGGTACTCTCTCTCTTGTGGTTCCCTGACTGCTCAGTGCACTACTATATCATTGCTTGCTGTTATTTTTGGTCCAAGTGGAAACCATATAGCCTCACAGGGCTGAGGCACAGCACGAAGGATGAGCGTCTGTGACTCTGGGCTGTAATCAAAGTTGTGTTCTCACAAGTTAAGCAACATCCATTATCTTTTACCTGCTTCTTCCTTTCCGTGTCACATGGGTCACAGGTGCCCATATCCAGCAGTCACTGTGCGAGAGGTGGGGAACACCCTGGACAGGTCTCCAGTCCATCACATGACCACATAGAAACGAGACAAACAACCATTCTCTCTCTCACTCACACCTAGGGACAATTTAGAGTTACCAATCCGCCTAACATGCATGTTTTTGGTCTGTGGGAGGAAACCGGAGAAAACCCACACATGTACTGAGAGAACATGCAAACTCCACTTGGAATAAATAAATAATAAATAAATAAATAAATATAAACTTTATTGTCATTCAAAATTGTACAGTGCCTTCTCATTGAGAGGTAACAGCTCTACCAATTGCGCCACAATGCGGCCCAAGTGTAGCAACATAAAACTTCTGGTAGATTTGTTTTACTCATGATGCTTCATGTTTTGCAACAAGTCGGATTACACCAAAAGCAAGAGCTATCCAAGAATACAAAATTCATGAAGACGATCTCCCGGCTCCATGAAGGCCGCAAGTCAAGCTAAATGGGGAACTGTCAGCCCTTTTCCATCACCATTGGTGTCAAGCAGGGCTGAGTTCTTGCACCAGTGCTTTTCTAAAAATTTTCAGCATGATGCTGAAACAGGCCACACAGGATCTTGACCATGACGATGACATCTTTATTCATTGTTGCTTGGATGGCAGCTAATTCAACCTAAAGCACCTGCTGGCTCACTCCAAGACTTTGGATCAGCTGATTTGTGAACTTCTGTTTGCTGACGGTGCTACTCTTGTTGCCCACACTGAACCAGCCATGCAGCAAACTGTGACCTGCTTTCCAAAGGCAGCCCAACAGTTTGGCCAGGAAGTCAGTCTAAAGAAGACTGAAGTCGTCCATCAGCCATCACCCAATGAATTGTACCACCCACCACACTTCATCATCAACAAACATGAGCTGATGTCAGTGAATCCGTTCATGTACCTTGGCAGCACAACCTCATCAGACAACAAATCAACATATGAATAAACAACAAGCTGGCTAAAGCAAACTCTGCTTTTGGCAGACTATAAAAAAATGGTCCAATAAAGCTCTAAGGACTGGGACAAAGGTTCAAGTATAAAAAGTGGTGGTACTAACCACCTTACTGTTTTGCTCAGAGACATGGGTGACATATCGAAGGCATCTCCGACTCCTTCAACGTTTCCACCAGTGCTATCTTCACTCCATCTTTAATGTCCACTGGAGTGACTACCTAACCAACGTCTCGGTCCTCCAGCAGACGGATATCACTAGCATCGAGATCTTGCTCCTTCAGGCATGACTTTGCTGGGCAGGGCACATGTTCAGAATGGAAGACCACCACTTGTCTAAGGTCGTACTGTACAGCAAACTGTCCTCTGGGCATCACAACTGAGGTGACCCACAAAAGAGGTACAAAGACCTCCTCAAGACCTCCCTGACCACATACACTGACACTCACACATGGTCCTCCCTAGTAGCTGACAGAATACGCTGGCACAACACCACCCACAAAGCAGTGGCAGCGAGTCTGTGCACACCATCAGTTTAGAGAAAAAACAAACAACAAAAAAAAAAAAACTGATTCAACTCTTGACCAGTTACTGACCTGCAGCCTCTGCAGCAAAGTTTACTTCTCCAGAATAGGCCTTGTCAGCCACCAGTGGGCTTGCTGGTGACATGGACAGTCCCAGCCCTAGATCTTTGTTAGCGAAGCCAAGCCAAGAATATTGTGATGGCTTGGAAAAAGACAAGATCACTTTTTTACTTGGTAAAACACAGTTGAATAGTCTTTTCAATGTAAGCTTTTCTTTTAATTTTTAATAAAAAATTTTTTTTTTTTTTAGAAAGTATGGTATTATAGATTTAATATATTTCACATTTTAAATAATGTTCATTTTATTTGCCTCCAATAAAGCATTTTCTTTCAAAAGCAGTGACAGACTGGCTTTCTGTTTGGTTGAAAGAAGAAGAAAAAAAGAATAAATATTTTACATGGAATTGTTTGACAACAGTTTCAGATGCTAAAAATAGTTATTGCATGAGCATTCCTTTATGCTGTTTGCTCTTATAACTTGGGAAACAAGGTCTTCTCATTGTTGTGAGTTTGTTGACATGATTTGGTGACACCCACTTAGCGTATAGCATTAGCTTAGGTGTGACCTGCTGACAGGAATGTTAACACCAACAAGAAACCTTACACCTTAATACTGAATTTATTTGGCAGGAAATAACATCACCACGTGGTCTTTTAGCAGCAAATTTTACCTGTAAACTAATAAGAAAATGACATGAGTTGTATAATTTTACCAATTCATGTGTTCTTTTAATAGTTTTTTTACTCAATCTTCTCGTTCTGTGTTTTTCAGGTGTGCACCTGGATATAGATAATGCACAAACATGGTGCTTTGTCAAACCAACGTGTTGCTGAAGTGGCAGGAGCATTTAAATAGTTCCTGGGCCTCAGAAGACTGTGTGTCGATAGCACGAAGACATGACGCTGCTGTTCTCTACAACAAACTTCTTGACAACAAGGAAGTGGTGACTCTGGCCCAGCCTGTTCAAGAATTAGTCGGCCCACGGCTCCCAGACTTTGAGTGTGAATCCAGCACATCAGCTGAGAAGGACGAGTACCTGTCATCCCTGCTTCATAGTCAGCGATGGCTGGCTCACCGCATGCTGACGCAAACCTCCTACACTTTGGGCCTTCACCAGAGGCTGGTAGTTCTACAGAGGATCTACTACGCACTCCACAGCAAATATCATGACAAATTTTCTGTGCAGCTGCCCTCTCAGTCCACAGACAGTGGGGCTGAAAGTGGCCAAACTGAGCTGGCCTCAGAATCATGCACGCCAGGGAATGCGTTCAAAATCAAGTCAGGTACAGATGTTCTGATAGAAATGGGTGTGAGGACGGGTTTGAGTCTGCTCTTTTCTTTGCTCCAGCAGAACTGGAGATACGCTGCTTCTGTGCATCCAGAGTCTGTGCTCTGTAACGATGTACTTGCCACAGCTTCCTCTGTCCTGGCTTCTCTTCCTCCACTTTCTCTTGCTAATGAGAGTAAGATCCCATCAGTGGGTTTGGACTGTCTAGCGCAGGTGGCTGACTTCCTGAAGAAGACATCAGTGAGCAGTGGTGGGGCAGACCCGACTGGTAGGAGGTTGTCCCTGGAGCTGTTGCTTGGCCTGGCCATGCAGAGAGGCTCTCTAAAGTTTCTGTTAGAGTGGGTGGAGGTAGCCATGGCTGCTTCCATGTCTCCCACCGCTGTGTTGTCTTCCTCCTCCTCACTGAGCCTTCAGCAGTTGGTCGGTGTAGACTTGGACGTCATTCAACAAACTCTACTTCAAATGAGGCAATATTCGGTACGTTATTTATTCTTCATTTTTTTAAGCTTTTACTTTGTTTGGAAATGTCTTTTTGTCATTGCTGTCTATAGTATACACTACTGTATGCAGTACATTAAAGGTCGTTTTGTGACATTTTTGGTCACAACCGTCAAAACTTTCTCAATCACAACTTTTCATTTTTCCACTCACTACAAAATACACAAATTATGATCCATCATCCTGATTTAATACTGAACTCAATGATTTGGTTTTGCAGGAATAACGATTTTGACTGTTGCAAGTCACTTAAAAAACATGAAGAGTCTGGAACTGGTTTGTAGCGACGCATTAGTTGTCAAAATAAGATTATGACTACTTTAAGCCTGTCTCCCTGTTTTAGTCATTTTAATTGTTTTTTCAATATTTCTGTACTAACAGAGATGACATATGCTAGCACCTTTAATGTACTGTTTGTTGTGCTTCATGCTGAGAAGTCAGTCTGCTGCTTTCCTTAGTGTGCATTTAAGTTTTCAGGATTGCCGTATTTATGAGCTAAACAACATTTTAATATTGGCAAAACTGTGAAACACTATTTGGATTAGTTTTTGATGAAATGGAAAAGTAAAACAAAAGTTGCTGCTTGTTGCCCGTTTCATTTTTATTTATTTTTTACGTCATTCCACTTCTTGATCGTGCAGTGATGAGTTGTTTCCGAGAAGCTAACTGTTTTTACTTTATATAAACCCCTAGCATTGAAATAATGAGTAAACCATAAATATTTTAGGTGACTTTGGTGTAAGTCCATCCCACACAATGTTAACATATTGTCTTTGTTTATAGTGATAGCATAGGAGTAACATAAATGAGTTTTCCTAGGGTTTCCGTGGTGATGCTGTCAACACTCAGGTGCTTACAAAGGACGCAGACGGTCTTTGCCAACTCTCCCAGGCAGCTCTCTGTTTATTTGAGGAGGTAAAGAACAGTTAAGAAACATAAAGTACATTTTACTAACACTTCAGTTTGCTTAAGGCTTTTATTTTACTAATAAATGAACGTCTCTTCTTATTCAACAGATTTGTAACTTGGCATCCAACTGCCTGTGCTCCTGCAGCACGGACGTAGCTGCTCCTGGTACAGAAAGTGATGCTGTAATTGTGTATGTTTGGGGCAGCAACAGCAGTCATCAGCTGGCAGAGGGTACTCTGGAGAAAATCCTACTGCCAAAACTGACACAAGGATTCAATGATGCCCAAATGGTATGTTTACCCCAAAAGACAGAATAAACCTACATAATTGGCTTCAGTTATTTTAAATTACAGGTTTATTATCGCCTGCCATTATGATTTTGAGCATTTATTCAAGCAGCTGATGCAGATATTAATGATAGTATAATATCATTATTATTATTTATTTATTATAAATCTTTATTTTTGTTAATGTTTTTACATTATGTTCTTTTCCTGCAACCTTTTTTTTTTTTGCTGTAAACTACGGCTTGTCTTTGTTTTGGTCTTTAATCTAATATTTGATAAAAATTATTTTAAAAATTAATAGAAATCTTGTGGACAACAAAACAGCCTGTAGAATTAAGAAAACTATCAAAAACACAAATATTACAGCTTAGTAATTATGTTTATAACTTAGTGACTAGTGTAACACTTCTTAAGATCAAAACAAACCTGATAAAATTAGATAGAAATAGGACTTTGCTGCCAGAAAACACCTATGGTCACAAACATACAAGATGAGAAAAGTTTGACGTTTAAAGCATTTACGAATTAGGCTAGGTGCAATATTTTAGGTGCAAAATGATCTACGAATGTCAAAACAATTAGTTTATTGGCACAAGTTTCTGTATTTCATATCAGCACGGCGTAACAAAAAATTCAACAAATGCAGTAAAATGCAGGAATCAACTTGCCTAAAATTTGTTGAAATTCAGATGCCGCATTAATCATAATGAACTGTTTTATAAAAATGACAACATGAATATTGTGCTACTGATAGCTTTGGAAACTTAAGTGCTCATGTACTGGCACAGAGTTTTTATAAAACCGTCTATAAATTCCTCAGACATTTTCAGGTTCACAGATTAATTATTTGTATGGTAAATGTGTAAGAAAAATATTTTGTCATCACTTCGATACTGACTTTGAGACTCAACTTTGCAGAACAACCTTAAAATAAGGATACATGTTAGATTTGTTGACAGCTAAAGGGCTTACTGATACTGTCTACATCTAAACTGTAAGGACGTAAAACAAATGTTCATTGTAGAAGAAATGTTGTTTTTTATTAATTGCTCAATTTGCATTCTTTAAATGATTTTGCTTGGACTGTTCTTTAATGTGATTAATGTCATTTTTGGGCTTCTCTCAGATTGAGGCAGGCCAGTACTGCACCTTCTCAGTGTCTGCAGATGGGTCAGTAAAAGCTTGTGGAAAAGGCAGCTATGGCCGTCTGGGCCTGGGGGACTCCAATAATCAGTCCATGCCCAAGAAACTGGTGCTTGAGCCACACAGGAACATGAAGAAAGTGTCATCCTCTAAGGGCTCTGATGGGCACTCTCTGGCTATCACAGCTGAAGGAGAGGTGAGAAGCAGTCGGTTATTTGTAATTTTGTGACTTTATCATTCTGTTCCTTTCATTTAATGCAAATAAGCTCAGTTACATCACACTACCAACATCACATGGAATTCATTATGTTTACTGCTAGTTCAACTTGTATTTTTCAAAATGCAAACACAAATTATACAATGATGATAATAATACAACAACAATACAAATAGCATATTTTTAATAACAAAAACCCAAAATATTTTTAGGTGTTCAGCTGGGGTGATGGTGAATATGGGAAACTGGGTCATGGCAACAGTGCTACTCAGAAATACCCCAAAATCATACAAGGACCATTACTGGGGAAAGTAAGTTTTCCTAAATGTAAATTTTCAGAAAAAAAAGTATATATGAGAAAGATGCAGCTGTAGAAATCTTGTGCTAACCATGCGTATCTTTGACAGGTTGTTGTTTGCGTGTCTGCTGGCTACAGACACAGCGCTGCTGTGACTAATGATGGAGAGCTTTATACCTGGGGAGAGGGAGACTTTGGCAGGCTCGGTACACACTTTAATTCTGACTTTGCATTATTTGTGTAATTTTATTTTCTAGTGAAAACACAAGCAACTAAATCTATTTCCTGTTTTCACCTGCTCCAGGTCAAAGTGATAGTCAGAGTCGAAATATGCCCACACTAGTGAAGGATATCAGTGGTGTGGGGCAGGTGGCCTGTGGCAGCTCCCACACCATTGCTGTGGCGCAGGATGGACGCACTGTGTGGTCCTTTGGAGGAGGAGACAATGGTGAGTCAGCAGATGATGTCCAATCCGCATAAAAACATTTAGAAAAAATCTTTGCAAACTGGCTAAAATATAAATGTACTTATTTATGTACAGAATACAAACACCATGCACAGAAACTCATTGTACTTTCATCCAATGATAATGATAGTAAACGGTCTTAAAGAAAAGTCTTGCGCTAAAATGAAAAAAAAAAAAAAGTTGATATGACTCATCTTTGCAGGTAAACTAGGCCACGGAGACACCAATCGTGTGTATCGCCCCAAGGTCATTGAGGCCCTGCATGGATTCATCATCAGGAAAGTGTGTGCTGGCAGCCAGTCGTCTCTGGCTCTTACCTCTGCAGGACAGGTTAGAATCTGCGGCTTGACTTTGGGATTATTGGTATTAAATTGACTTATTTCAAATGACAATCAATTTAAGGTGGTAATTATTTGTTATAATAACTATTTGTTACAATATATAGGGATGTACAATATTATTGGCATGGTATCAGTGTTGGCCGATATTAGCAATAAAGTTAAATATCGGACATCGGCCATTCCATCAAAAAATCTCACAGATATTAAAAATGCTGTTTTTATACATACATGCATACATACATAAACACATACATACATACATACTTGGCAATTTTTGCCTGTTTGAACTTCCCATGCTCTTTTACACAAGTTTTGTAACAAATAAGCCTAAATAAGAGGGCTATGTTCCGACAAAGGAAAGAAGTTGATAATGCACATAGCAAAATTCATAGAGATTTGAGTTGATTATGAATATTTTATAACCACACATTCGGCTTCTGTTTTAAGTATTTTTTTTATTTAAGAAACTGTCAAGTATATCTATTAACGCACTACTAATTATGCAATTTTCACTTGTCGCTTGTGAACAGGTTGAGTTTAGATTTGTGAAAATTCACAAATTTGCACTGTTCGAGTGTTGTCATTGTGTTAGAGAGTAAATGTCATGAATAAATTTGACATTAAGCATAATCCAAGTTGAAGTGTTAGTCCCAGCTGCATTGGGCAGCAGGTCAAATTGACAAAGACCATGCAGAATAATGTAGTATTTTAATTCCACAGCAGAAAAAGCTATGTAGTCTCTGTAAGTAGGTCTAGGGAAAACAATATCGATATTGGTATCAGTTATCGACCAAATAATTTTTAACATAATGGCATATTGGATATCGGCCAAAAGTCCAATATCGCGTAACTCTACAATATACTGATTCTGATAAAATATCACTAAAATTGTGATAAAAAGGTCTTTCACTTGAGCTGTTTCTATATTCTCTTTGGATGTTGTTTATATTTCGAAAGCGATTTTTGTCTTAAATCAGGCAGTGCAGAATGAAATGAATAAAAAGTGCAAAATTCCTACATAGTTGATTTTTAAGCAAATAATTCAGACATTGTTTTGTTTGCTTGTGTTTCATCTTCAGGTGTTCTCTTGGGGCTGTGGTTCATGTTTAGGGTGTGGTTCTTCAGAAACAACTTCACTGAGACCCAGGTTTATAGAAGACCTGAGTATCACCAAGATTATCGATATCTCATGTGGGGACAGTCATTGTCTGGCTCTGTCACATGGTACATATTTATTTATTTATTTCAGATGATTAGCACATGTGTACAAAGAAATGTATATTTTGTGCATTTACTAATTTGCACAATGTTCTGCTGTCATCAGAGAATGAAGTGTATGCATGGGGCAACAACACGATGGGCCAGTGTGGGCAAGGTCACACTTCTACACCTATTACCAAACCCAAGAAAGTGCTTGGCTTAGAAGGTGTCTCCATCCAGCAAATCACAGCTGGCACTTCTCACAGTCTGGCTTGGACTGCAGTTCCTACTGACAGGTAAACGCTCTAACACCTTTTTTCCTCCAGTTTTCTGACTAGTGAGAACAGTGTTGTGCTGCTTGTTATTTTGAAATGTCTTCATACAGTGGAACCTAGTCTCTTTTATACTCCACGTGTTTGCTAATTTAAAGGATTCCTTTTAAGATTTGACACATATGTGCTTTTCTATCCAGACAACTGGTTGCATGGCACAGGCCTTTCTGTGTTGACTTGGAGGAGAGCACATTCTCCTACTTACGCAACTTCCTAGAAAGATACTGCGATGGCATCAGTAACGACACACCTCCTGCTCCATTTTTATGTAAAAGGTAAGGCATTAACTTCTTTCTGTCACCACAGCATACAGTAATTTGTTGCCTAAAGGGTTAACTTCTTCACAAACAGCACATTTCCTTTGCCTTCCATTTTAATGCGCTCTTTCGATCCTCTTTGTATCTGTTCCTCAGGGACCACCATCATTTCCTTTTGCTGTGCATGAAGCTGCTCTCCATCCACTTGTCCTTGGCTCATGCAGGAGGCACGGGTGCAATAGTTTTAGGTGCTCAGGGCAGGCCTCTGAGAAACCTCCTTTTCAGGCTGATTGACACAAACATGCCTGACTCCATACAACAAGTAAATAATTAAATTACTTTTCAAATATATTTAACACAAGTGTTAATATAAAAAAGGATAGGTGTTGGTTCAGATCATGGTATGAAGTACTATACAGATGAGACAATCTTTAGGGCCACTGATAGTGTTTGAACATCTTGTGAATTAATTGGGCTTATAAGTGGATTTATTTGCAACTTACTCAAAAGGTATTTTGAGTAATTAACATATATAATGCTGAGTGAGTTTGTTTATCCTTTGAGTAATTACCAACGTCTGATCTTTGTGTTTTGTTCTTTTCTGTCGATCTTCAGGCAGTTTTAAACACGCTGTCTATTGGTGCCTCCCTGCTGTTGCCTCCTCTCAGGGAAAGAACCGAACTACTCCTCTCTCTCCTTCCTCAGGGTCCCCAGAGTTTAAATGTCCTCTCCAAAGGGCAGGTATGTAGGTTATTACACCAGTGCTGTTCATTATGACAAAATATATTTTTTTAGTATTTTTCGTGCATCGCATTAATCACCAGGTGTTGTTTTTTTTAAAAAAAGTGTGGAGGTCAAACTGCTTGTGGAAGGTGTTTTGCAGCTGCTTGTCTTTCTTCCTGGCTGATCACTGTTAGTTGGTTTCACCATGGTTGGATCACACTAGAGAACTTCAAATTGCTGCGCCAAATTAAAGTGTTACTGGAAAAAAACAAAAAAAACCTGCTTGAATGTTGCAAAAAAAACAACATGTAACTATGAAAACCTTTACTTTTTTGCTGTTTTCTCTTTTTTGTCTCCTATTTTTCAAAGCGTCTGCAGTTAGACATGGTCCTGAGCAGCCTTCAGGACCAGAGCCATGTCGCTTCTCTGCTGGGTTACAGCAACTTTGGTGAAGTGGCAGCCCTCGGACCTCCTCAGACACCTGTCATGTCAGTCCGCCCTCCTTCTTCATCCAGCTCAGCAGAGGCCTATGACCCTCTACACTTAGCGGAGGTGCTGCTGAGGACACTTCTGCTTAGTATAGGCTTTTACACGGTATGAAATGAGGACGTCATGTTTATATTTATGTGCAGTCTCACTGAATAAATGCAGGTCATTTTAAGCAGTAAGAATCTAATATGTAAATGTACTAATGACAAAATTAATATCACAGGTAAACTATGACATAAGCTGTAACGTTTTAACACATTTAAATGTAGCTTAATGGTAGTTTTGTAATTCTTATATTTGTTTTATTAATTTATGAAATAGATAGTATTTGTTTTATTATTTACAAATAAATTTCAGAATCAGAATAAACTTTATTGGCATCGCACCGAGATACAACAAGAACATGTACGTACAGTCGTCCGAAAGATGGGCGGCGTGCACGAAGCTGCAACTATAAAAAGCACAGCCTTCTTATTCAAAATAATATTTTACTTGGATGAGAAAATGGAAGAAAACATTTTACTTGGATGAGAAAATGGAAGAAAACATGAGGAGAGACAGTATTTAAAAAAAAAGATCTCTCACACCGTGTCCTAGACGGGGCACGATTTGAGGCATCAAAAAAACGACCACAGCAAAGCAACATAAACAGACGTTATACATTTACATATAGGCCGGTGAAGACAGAATTTTAAGAGAAAGTCGTAGCATAGTCCAGAGCCCCTAAAGAAATCTTTTTTTTAATTTTTATTAAACCTCATGTGTTTTTTGTTTCTTGGCTTTTGTGCTATCACACAGGAGCAACAATTTGGAGAATTGGAGAAAAATAGTGATAAACAGCTTAGTGCTGGCCATCAGGGACAAAATGATCCTCCTTCTCACTTTCATCAGCTGCTGTCTGGACTTCACAAACACCTGCTCGCCCACTGTTACATTCACTCCAGCTCAGAGGTAAAGACAGAGTCAATCAAACCCAATGTAAAATGTGGATATTATATAAAATGTACAGTGTTGCAGAAATAACTGTCTGAACTGCATGGGGGTAAACAAATCGTTTATCTGAATCTTTTTTTTTTTTAAAGAATTTTTATTTTGCATAGGTCTTGCATTTAAAGGGCATTTAAAATATATATATTTTGAACTCTTGATTGTTGTAGTTGAGTTCATATATATATATATATATATATATATATATATATATATATTTCCACTGACTTTTAGGATGATGGCAGCGTGACGCTGCTCCGAGAGCATCTATACCTGCTTCTACCTTGTGCTACTGAGACACTCAAGAGAACAACAAAGCTGCTGAAGGAGAGTTCCCCAGACAAACAAATAATTAAAAAGCTGCACAGTAAGAATATTGACTTCCATCTGTGTTTTTATGGTTTACACTTTTTGTTGTTTTGCATAATTTTATTTTAATAAAGCTTTTATAATTAGATTATACTACTATTGTTATTCTCAAAATGCAAATAGATTTTCAAGGAGAAAAAAGTTTTTATTTAACTGTTGAATTACCTTTGGTTCTCTTTTATACCATTTGTTTCATGTCTCGCATTGGGAACGCCCTTGGTGTGACCTCATCAGAAGCTCCTGTTACATTACACCAGCCAGAATAAGCCTGTCAGTGTGAAGGAGGGCAGGGCCCTCCCCCTATATATAGGGCTGTCACTGCACAAACAGCTTATTCAAAGCCTCCTCTCGCAATGAATAGAAGTTCTCATCAGCTCTCTTGAGGTACTGTCTCTCTCAGAGTAGATGTGCACAAGCTCAGTCACTGGACACGTTGCTCTGCACAGCACCACACAGAGTAGCTGTTCATTGGTAGCAATACCGTAAAAAAAAGTAGAAATACTTTAAACTAAATAAAAGCTAATTAATGCATCTCTTGCTGTACATTGGCTGTTTTCAGTGCAGCAATACTCCCGCTGTTTAAGCTGCCCACCTGGAAGCAGCAATGCTCCCCCTAGCCACACCTGATTAGCTAGCTCTCACCAACTACACAAAGCTTTACAGATGAATCTCCCTGGAACATGGAGACCATTAAGGCTTCCACAAACCCAGAGGTGTGTCCACAGGCACAAACCTGCCTGTGTGGAAACAAAATTTCAGGCTGGGACACCCACCCATCGTGTGTGGTGTTCCTCGGCTTGAAACACTCGCAGGCAGCCCTTCAGTCTGCAGAGGAGTGCGCACACTGCAACCAGTTCTCCCTCAAGGTGCTTCGTCGCTGTCTGGCCCGTCAGTCGACATTGTCCAGCAGTGACCCAGTGATGGCTTCGACAGCTACCAACCGAGCAGAACCCGCCTGACCTGCTGGGTTCGCAGGTTACTGAACCAGAAGCTGGAACTAGTTGGGGCGACATACTTGAGGCTGTGGACCCACTGTCAACTGAAATGATGGAGCAGGGTCTCACTTCAAGCTTGCTCGACTTCATGATGGCAGGAGGTGTGCTCTTCGATGTGGATTCAGAGCTGCCCTTCTCAGATAACGAGCATTATGACCCATCGCCCCAGCCCTCAGGTCAGGTTGTAAAACCTGCTTTTTCAGGTGCAGACCAATAAGTTATAAGTGAAGCAATAAGTTTAATTTCTCATGAACCCATCTGAAATGGATTTTATTCACGTTCTTTTCTCACTTGCTCCACTCTGGGCCCTTGAGCAAGGCCCTGAACCCCCACCATCTGCTCCCCCAAGCACCCTAGATAGCAGCTCTCTGCTCCACACAGAGGGCTGTGGTAGCTCGGTGGTCTGAGGTTGCCTCAGGAAGGACATCTGGTGTAAAAACAATTGCCAAGCCTTCGCGTGAGTTAGTTCGCTGTGGCAACCCCTGAAGAAGGGAGCAGCCAAAAGAGAAAAAAAATCCTTGTGCCAAAGAAAGGTGGCCGTGGAATATGGACACTCTTAGACCTCCGGACTCTGAACAGGCATCTGAGAAAATACAGATTGTAGCCCTAAATTCACAGGAGAATTGAAAATGGCTGACATGTAACGTGAAATCTGCTGAGCAATACAGGAGTGAGTATATTTTCGTTCCCAATGTGAGACATGGAACGAATGCTATGAAAGAGAACTTTAGGTTGCCGTCATAACCCCGGTTCTCTGAGTAGCATGAGTGAGTGTCTCACCAAGTCACCCTCTTCAATACATTTTCTAATTAAAGATAAATTAATCAATTCTGAATTGTGAATGAGTTTATTTGACTCTTTTCATGCATAAATGTTTTAGCAACATTTTAAAGACATGCATACAGTGAACACTTTGTGTAGTTTATGTGCAATCTTTAATTCATTTTCTTTTTAATATATACAGTATTTTTTTTTTTTACCTTTCATCTTAGTGGTGTTGTACAATTCAGTAGCTGGCAGTCTGCTGTGTCAGGTAGTGTACTCCTTGCTGCTGCTGCCACTGGACACAGTTCAGCCTCTTCTGAGCCACTTACTGACCTTGTTGGAGCACCTCAATGATTTCAACAGTTTGCTGCCTGAGACCGCTCTGCTGGAGGAACAAGAACTGGGAGCAGAGGCTCAGAAATCCTCTGGTCAGTGCAGCGACAGTTAGATTGATCCTAAATTAATATTAGCATTGATGCCCGTATTATTGGAGTTTACAACAGAGCATAGAAACTATTTAAAAGGACGGATTGTGTTTTATTCTAGATAAAAGTGAAGCAAACCTTGGAAAGCAACAGGAGGAGGAGTGCAGGTGGGCTTGGATATTGGATCTGGAGCGGTCTGTTGCGTTGGCAGTTGGCCGCTGTCTTGGCGGTATGCTGCAAGGCCCGCCGCCTTCGCTCCAGGAGAAAATGTCAGAGATGTGGCTATCAAATGTCCTCCTCAGGAATGGCCTCGAGATGGACTTTGAACAGCTGGGTAGGAAAACATACCACCTGTTCTACAGATTTTAAAACGGAAGGGATCAGGTTTAAACTCCCAGATTTATTTAGATTTATTTCAAATGTATGTTCCAGTTTTTAATGAAGAAAACAAGTTACTAAAGAGTGGGGATGGATGCTGATAGGTGTTGTGGTACTTCACATATGAGAGAAGATAACAAAATGGGCCAGCTAGTTTTACTTTATGAGGTTCTTGCATAATTACAACACAAATACTAAAATACTTCCCTAAATTAAAGACATCAATATTTTAATACAACCAATAATGTAGTGTACATTAATGGTGATGTGGTATGTAGTATATTTATATGCAAAGTTTGTTCCTGCAGACTCCACCATGGCATGGCTGATGGAGGTTGTGCTGCTGGGCACCAGTGATGCCAGACAAGCAGAGCTGTCTCTGACTGAAGAGAACAGAACGTTACTGGAGCTGGCCCTGGGGTCCACCCGAGGACGTGCAGGTGTTCTGTGGTGGAAGATGGAGGAGTATGCTCACAGCAAAGGTACTTGTATGCCTGTTTTTTGGCAATGCGTCTGAAAGTTGGTATTATCAGGACAAAGTAAGTGCCTGATCTAAAAATTGCGTGCACCCTAAATTTATTTCTAAATTTTATCCCATGTTCTGTGCGTGTTTGGTCTGTTTGTAACTTTGTTGCAATTTATCTTTTTGTTTTGTCTGACAGCAGAATGGGAGAACCGAGGTTCTTCAGATAATCTGTTGCCGATTGTCTGCCGCTGCAGTCTGGCTGCTCTTCTTAAACATACTGGACTGCAAAATGAGGCTTGTTGGGACGACAGGTTGGTTACAATCCAAAAATTAAGAGTTGCTGAATACTTTTATTTAATACAAATAAATACTGAACAGATTGCCAATGTGTAAATAGACATCAATTATGAATTCTAATTTGTGTACTGAAATTAATAAACAGTGTTAACAATCAATTTACCTTTAATGAGACAGGTATGAACCTTGTGAGATGCTGATCGATGTCTATGAAACAGTTTATAAAATCAGAAGCACCCTGTTGGCCTTTAAAAACACTCCAAAAATGTCACAGATGCAAGCAGCTTCCAAACAGGTAACTTTACTAAAAAATACATCACTTAACAATAACAATAAATGTATTATTTTACTAAATATTGATGTAATTCACAGTTAAAGAGGAGTGAACATTGAGCATTTTATTGATGTACATATTTTATGACTAGTGTTTAATTTTATTAATATTAAGAAACGTTTTTGTTTATTTTATTGTATAAATTTTAAACTATATTATACTTAAAATGTGGGAAATCCATAAAGAGAGGAAACAAAACAGTGTATTTATAATATTTCTTTAAATTGCAGAACTCTCAGTCTCCTCAAAGTCCTGGTATAGACATCCAGGAGCCTAGCACATCAGCAGAGCTGGTAGGAAAGGAGCATGAGCAGCAACCAGGAGGTCAATGTAATCAGGAAGTTCAGGTGCCCCCACTTCCTACAGCAAACCACAACCAGGAAGACGCCACAGAGGAAAGATTTAACAGCAGTCATACATACCTGTCAGGTTTGAGATTGATTTCTGCACTGTAATGGATTAAATTTACAGCTTGTTGTTCCTTTTTACGTTAGCTCAAATGCACAGTGGTTCCCAACCCTGGTCTTCAAGGAACACTACCCAGTCTGTTTTAGTTGTTTCTCTGCTCCAACACAACTGATTCATTGATTTAATTACTTAAGTTCTGCAACCTAATCACCCATTCATTCAAATCAGGTGTATCAAAGCAGGGGAATAAAACATACAGGATGGTGTTCCTCAAGGACCATGGTTGGGAACCACTGGTTTATAACAAATCAGCATTTAGGGATTTTTTTTTTTTTTTGACTCTGCAGAAGTCTTAGAATCATTCATGGCCACCAGGGAAGCCATGCAAGTTCAACAGAATGTGACAGTCTACGAGTCGTTTGGCACTTCCGCCCTGCCCAGCAGTATGGAGAGCCCTGTTAGCCCAGAGAGACAACCAGATCCTAAGAAAAAATGGGAAAACCACAGGGAATCAGAGGAAAGCTTGTCTTTCTCCACTGCCTGCCATCTTGTAATATCTCGATCCATCTTCCTTCTGCTGGGGGTCAGGTCTGCCTGGGTTGAACCCAATGAAGGAGACAATAACCAGGATGTCAAAACTGTATCGAGGTAGAGTTTGTGCAGTGCATGTTTAATTGGCTTTTTTCACTGTTCTCTGTGATCACTAAGTATCTGCATCATCTTCTTTCAGGACATCAACAACGGAGTCTTTTACAGTAGCTGGAAGAAAACAGGTAAATCTTGTGATATAAGAAAATTTCACCTCACACCTTTTAATTTGTAATGATTTTCTTTTTTTTTATTATTTAGTGTGACCAGTCCAAAAACTCCTCTGGCTCTTCCAAAAATAAAATGGGTGAGTGCTTTAGTGAGAATATATTCTCTAAATGTTGGAACTTAGAGTTTAGTTACTGTAACTCTCATCAGCTAAACCATCTTTATGTACTTTTTTATTAGACACTAGAAAAAGTTGTCCAGACATTATGAGAAAGACAAATTATTGTCGTGAGTACAGTCTGTTTTAAAATGATCACATGCTCTAGAATGTTTAAGAACAGAACCGAATTGCAGACTGTTAAATTGTTTCATTTTAAATGTATTTAAAAAAAAATCAGAATCAGCCCAATTTGTTTGAGATGAAGTCTAATATTTACAAATGCAGATTTTTCAGATTCATTTTAAGTACCACTCTCCTTTTGAATTCCCAACCACATGCATGGCTTATTTAGACATTTACTGTCATACGTTTACTTATACAAATCAAATTAAATGACTTTATGGGCAATCAAAATAGAGTATTTCTTTGGTCTGTATGTTCCAGGATTACCTTTGTGTTCCTTGGGAATAATGAAAGATGCTTGGGATCGCTTACGGCAATGCATCAGTCCTATTTCCACCATGTCCCACTGTGGTGACAACACTTTGCCAATCCTTAACCAGGTCTTTCAGTTTGTCTGTGGAAGCTTGATCAGCTTATATTCTTCTCCAGCTCTGACTGGTGAGCAAAGTTATAGTCAGGCAGATCCAAAGGCCATTACTTTAGCTGTGCAGCAACAGCAACAACGGGCTGAGGTAAGTCAGATAATTGTCTTGACAAAACAAATGCACATTTAAGCAAGAAATACTCTTTTGCACAATGCAATACTTGTGCCACTAATAAAAATCAAAATTAGTGTTCAGACTGTCACTCTCATCTGAGCTACCTACATGTTTTTATGATCAGATGCGTCTGGAGGCTTTGTGTCAAATGTCAGCCTTCCTGTCCAAGATGGAGGAGAAGAGCAGCCCTTCATCAGTTTCTCCTCAGTTTCCTGCTCTGCTGCAGTCTGCAGAGCTCCAGTTTCTCACTGGATGCTTCGCTCTGGGAACGCAAATCATTGGTTCCAACTCTGGAGCAAATTACGAGACCCAGCATTACATGGTACATTCAGTAACAACACTGCTAGAATCTTAGTTCATGATTCATAAAAACAGAATAATCAACATTTGATCCTATCATACTGGAGATTAGAATCTACATATTTCATCCTTTTTTCCCAAAACTATTTTTCTTTTCAAATTCTGATGTCTAAATTCAGTGTGGCACTAATGCAGCTTCAATGGAGACGAAAAGAGAGCTACAATCTGCAGCACATACCTTTTACCAGCAAGTGGTGCAAGTCCTCAAAGTCAGAGTCCAGTTGGAGAAAGAACATCCAGGTATTTACTACTGTGTTTAACACCTTTGTAATAACAGTAGGGGTAATGAAGCTGCTGCTATTATTTTACAATAATGCCTTCCTTTTTTTTGTTTTTCTCACTCACATCAGGTCTTTAACAGCTATGCTGGTGCTCTTTGTTCATTCTGTCACTCAGTGAATAGTGTGATTGAGTAGTCAGCTGCCCCATCTGCTCAGTTTTATCTTCTTTTGTTTAATGCTACCAATGTTTAAATACATTTCTGGTATTTTATCATCTATTTGAATATTTTAACTCAAATGTTGACTACAGTAACTGTATCTCCTCCTAGTTAGTTATTTTTATGTATTTGACTATGTTATATTTTAACTAACGGTTGATCTTTATGCTTTTAGCACTGTATTCACTCTGAATAGTTCTGTTTTTATATTGGTTTTGTTATCACGCTGGCTGAAATGAACACTTTTTTGCAGTGTATTTTAAATTTAGTAGGAAAAAAAAACTACATAAAGAGTCTGGCTTCCTCAGACTAAGCACTAAGTTGACACTCTGAACAAAACTATAATACTCCAAGGAAATGTTTATACTGTTGAGACTATAACTCAAAATCTGCTCATTGGGATATCGTCTCTTGTCATCCTCAGGTTCTTGTCAGCATCTTCTCTTAGCTACAATATTTGCACTGAACTTCTGTTATCAACCTGTGGATCTGGTGCTGATCATCAAATGTGGCATCCTGGAAATCCTTTCCACGTTGACCAACAACAGCTGCGCTTTGATGAACCAGGGCTGGTTTGCAGCCTCGTCTTCTGGATCAATGTTACTCAATGGGGCTGTCAGACTGGCCTGTACCCGCCTGCTTCAAATAGTGACTGTAGCTGCAAGGTGAGAAAGAGAGAAATATATGAGCATTAAATATTTGATTTTAAACTCCGTATCTTTTGTTGCTTTTACGACTTATTCCACTGGATTCTCAGCTCCTGTGATGATTTCCTGCCGTTGGACATATCCCATAATCTGATGGAGGTTATGTGTGAGCATCTCCAAAACATCCTGCAGAAGTTCCACCAACACCATACAGCAGAGGGCTTAACCGCTGAGAGAGCAGATCTGGACGCCAACAGCAGGAGCACAAATCTTGGTGTGGCAGAGCTAAAAACATTGAACTGAACTGAATTTGTTATTGTACATTTAAGTAACTAAAGACCACAGCAGAACTAATAGTTTCAAAGTATATTTTCAAAGTATAATAACATTTTTGAGTAATTTTTTTTTTCTTTTGCTATTTTTCAGGAGTAGAATGTAGTAAAGTGACTGAATCCCAGCTTTCAGATTTTTTGGTGTTCCTGAGGAGAGTATTGTCTTTGAGAGTAATGAAAAGACTTTCTACATTTGGCAAATGGATTGAACCACTCATGGCCATTATTTCACACAAGTGCTCTTCAGGTGAAATAGTTAAATATAGCAATAATAATCATCATTAGTGCTACACAGAGTTTCTTCTTTTTGGCTCATACCACCCTCTCCCCTCTGTTTTTGTTTGTTGTAGGATCTCCATGCTTCCAGAATCTCCGCACAAAGCTTCTGGCCTTCCACGTTTTAGAAAGAATATTACCTGCTTGTTCTGAGCCTGTTCACATTCAACAGGTATGATTAAAAAAGGTTTAAATGTTAGTAGTAGTCCCTCGTTTATCACGGGGGATCTGTACCCTGAAAACCGCAAATGAGGAATAGTAGTACAAATAGTAAGTAGTAGTTTATTTCAGTATTTTTATATACTGATATATATTAAGGTGTTTTAAACCCTTCCCACATTCTTGCAATATTCTAAACAATGTTTCTAAACTCTAAACGCTCAAAGAATACAGAATATCATGATTTCAGCTCTCTGCCTCAGGCTGTACTCTGCCAGCACGCATGGCCACGCCCACTTCTCCGCTCTGCATGGAGAACAGCTGATCAGCTGCAGCAGGAAGCTTCTCCTGCAGTGTGGGCTGCACAAAGGTGCAGCCAGGTGCTAAATAATTTAAAATAATTTATTTAAAATAAAAATTCCATGCCCACTGTGCGGCTCATCCATCAATCAGCCAATTGTGTCATGTCCAATCTTACTTTGAAAAACCGCGATAGAGCGAGTCTGCGATAAACGAACTGCGAAGTAGCGAGGGACTACTGTACATCAAAATTATTGATGTTAATGGAATTATTGTGCAGCATGGATCATCTGTAAATTAGGCTTTGCTTATTTACCAAATGTAATGGTAAGGAATTGGTGTTGTTTTTTATTTTTCTTGTAGATTGTTAAACAACTCTTCCAGATGTTGTCTGTTTACATGTGGGAAGAACCACTTGCTGAGAGAAATTATGAAGAGGCAGAAAAAGAAACCGTGGTACTACACCATTAATGTTTTATGACAACCTGTTGCATTATTTATTCTGTGTATATTAATTTGCATATACATTTTTATTGTATGTTTTTGTAAATACTAAACATTTTAAAATTAAGTAATTGTATTGTGTTTGTATAGTTTTGCATGCTATTCATGTCAGTGCACAAAGTTGCCAGTAATATGAAGCAATTTGTATCCTAACCTTTTTTCTTTTGCAGGGTCCTGCTGGGTATGATGAATGTATCCCCATTGGAGATTTTTCCTTTGATCCAAACAAGCTCATGTGCTGTTTTCTGGAGAGTGGGAACATTCTCTCACATGGTCCAGGTGGGAAAGGTTATGGCCTGGCAACCACAGCCATCACCTCTGGCTGTTTTACATGGAAGGTAAAAGTATGCTCTGAGCAGATCAGTGCTGATAAATGATCTTTATTGATTCAACTCATTCAGATTGTCTCCGCAGTTCTACATTACCAAAGAGAACAGAGGCAATGAGGGCACGTGTATTGGCGTTTCACGCTGGCCGGTCAGAGATCACAACCACCATACCACCACTGACATGTGGCTGTATCGTGCTTATAGTGGCAACCTGTACCATGGAGGGGAAATGGTGCGCACACTTCCCTCTTTCACCCAGGGTGACATCATCACCTGCATCCTGGACATGGAAGCTCACACCATATCATTTGCTAAGAATGATAAGGTTTGACCAGAAATTCAGTCAGTGTTTGTGGTTTTCTCTCAGATTAACTGGTGTTGTCAAACAGTTTAATGGTTGTATTTTTGTAAATGTTTTAATTAAATCTTTGTTTTTAGGAGCCAAAGTTGGCATTTGAAGGTGCAGTTGCCTCTGAGTTGTACCCATGTGTGTTGTTCTACAGCAGTAATCCTGGAGAAAAGGTGATTTTTGTCTTCTGCAGTTAAACATGTAGTTATATGTGTCCTAGGAAAACTACAATATTCCTTTCAGTAACAGTATTTGCTCTCACAAACTTTTTACTTAACAAACCAAGTTCATGTAGAATGTGTGGAAGGTTTACCAAGAGATGTCTCTTGTCTGATCATGTGTAATGCAAAAAAATGCATTTTATATAATTTATTTAAGAGGAAGCCTGACAGTTCAAGTTATCTTTCTCTCTTTATATATATATATATATATATATTCCAAAACACTCCTTTACAGGTGGCACTACGTGACCTGCAAATGAGGGGCATGCCCAGTAATCTCCTTCCTGGAGAGCCTCTCTGCAGCCCTCGGACCACTGTGCTGCTGGAGTCAACCGTGCAACTCCTGCGGAGGCTCCATCAGTGTGACAACTGGTCCTCGCACATTAACCAACATGTTCTTTCCCACCTGGAGCTCATTGGCGTTCTGCTAAGAGAAGATGACTCGGGAAACTTTAAGGACTCAGGTGAAAGACATGCATTTGTTACTGTGGCATGTTTAACCTGCTGTTTTGAATATTTTGTAACAACAAAAGACAGACTGTGACTGAGGTTTAAACTAGGGATGCTGCACCAATGCACTTTTTTCCACTTCAGATACCGATATCTGAGTTTGTAGATATCGATCCGATACTGATCTAATACAGAAAAACAGTGCTGAATTAACTTAAAACATTTGTTTTTTAAACGCAGACGTAAATGTACTGAATTACAAATTTATTGAAAACTGCACCAGAACAGCACACTTAAACACACCAGTAGCTTCACGAGCTTGGTCAGACTTATGTAAACAACACAACTTTAATTTGTTCAGTCAGTGCAATTATGATTATAACACCCAGTGTAAAATAAATAATTGTAAAGCTACTGAAACTGACAAAAACAATAGGTTGACAACTTTGGTCAAACATGAAAAAATAAACTGCAACAAACCTTTCAAATGGTTCAGGAATTCTAAATATAATGTAAAATAAATAATAAAGGAGTTGAAGTAAGAGGAAAAAACAAAAGCTTCACTAGCTTGGTTGGCAGATATTTAAAATAAACAACAATCAGCTCCTGTCCTTTATGGATCGGTCACATTGTCGTCAATACCTGATCTAGAATTTTTCGATACCGATACTAATATTGGATCGGTACATCTCTAGTTTAATCATTACCCCTTATTTAAATGTAGTATACAGAGTCCTGATTTTTTTAAATTAAAAATAAACATATGCAACTAGTAAGAATTATGAAATGTGTCCTTAAAATGTTCAACTTTTAAATACGTAGACATGAATTTCTATTTGATTTTCACTTTTAAATCCGCCTGCAGGCCTTGGTCCTCCACATGCTGAGAAGGAAGACCATAAGAAAGACAAAGACGAAACCAGGGAGTTGCTACCTCACTGTCAGTCCCTGTCAGATGCCAAGCTGGCTGCACTTTCTACTGAAGTGTGGCCGGTCCTGGCTCTGGTCGGAGGAGTTGACAGTGGTCTCCGTGCTGGAGGTGTGTGCCGACACAAGCCCAGCGGGCGCAAGGCCATTCTGCTCGGGGTTTTGAAGGAAGGGAGCTCTCTGGCTAAGCTTCAGTGGGAGGAGGTGGATCTCTCTGTCAGGTATCATTAACAAACACATACCTACTCCTGATTTAAAATGTCATCTGTTTCCAAACTAATTTTGCTCATTAACCCCCATCAAACTATTCTATTCTTCATTTTTTTAATCTCACCCCTTTCAGCATGTTATTACTCCTAATTCACTGATTTAAATGTTTTTCTCTGTAATTTTTCTAACATTTTGCTTTATTTTCACCATTCACCCTCCTGATCTTACTTTCTTCTTGCTTCTTCCTCTTCGTTCTTAAATCCATAAATCCTCGTTGAATTCTCCCTGATGTCACTCCATGCTGTATCTGTGGGTTCTTCCCATCATTCCCAATAACTAAGCTCCATGAATTCTTGGTCACCCAGCGACACGCCGATCATCTCACTGGAGCCCTGGGACACATCCTGCTATGATATCACCCGCCTTGGAGGCCTCAAGCCAGCAGTGTTGTTGGATCTGATTTATTTGATGGGGCTGCTGGAGGAGGAGGGCCTACTAGGGGCTCACCCACCCCCCAGAAGAAAATACTCTGAAGAGATTCTGAAAGAGGATGAGAAGCAGAGCTGCCTGGATGAAGATGTATCAGATGATGGAAGGTGTCTGTCTGAAGATGAAAGAAAGAAGGTGAAGGATCAGAAGGTTGATACAGACCAGTTTGCATCAGCATCATCTCCTCCCAACACCCCAAAAACATCTGACCCTCAGGAGTCGACCTGCTTAACTCAACTCCCCCAAACATCCCAGACCTCAAAAATGGATGCCCTTTCACTTGAAATGAGAGCAGTTAGGGTCTCATATCTTCTTACTGGAGGTTTGAAAACTCTGACTGTCATTTTTACCTGTGAGAAGCTTTCAGATTTGCTTCTAGTGCCTAAAAATGATCCTCCAGTCCCCTCTACGAGTCCCCTTTCCAGCCTTACCCCAGACCAGGTAAAGGCCGACTGTAAACAGTGGGATGAAAATGCTGAGCTGAGGTCAGTGTTGCAGTATGTGGTGCAGAGCATGGTGAAATGGGCAGTAAGACCCTGTCCCATCAAGCAAACTGTGACTCTTGCTGATTTGGAGAGAGCTCAAGTCATGATATACAAAGGAGCCCTGAACAGACTGCAGGAGGACAAAGAGCGAAAAGGTATCAAGATTATGTTTTATATCTTGTAAACACATTATTTTACTTTAGTTTCCATGTTGTAGAGAGAAAGTTGGACTTTTTAATAGGGATGCACGATATTATCGGCATGGTATCGGTATCGGCCGATATTAGCGTTAAAGTTAAATATCGGACATCGGCCATTCCATCAAAATAACTCACCGATATAAAAGGTGCTGTTTTTGTATGACAACCCAGTGACAATGATGCCTGCAGCGCCAGCACGTGATGACACGAGCGCCTACCTGAGCTGATCACGGCGTAGAGGAAGAAGTCAAAATGTCGGCGGTGTGGAAATTTTTTTCATTGAGGATGTCGGATTCCAAAGATTTTTGGACTACATTGAGCCTCGCTACATTGTCCCCAGTGAAAGATATTTGTCCGACGTAGGCTTACCCGATTTACAAGCCATCATTTCCGACGTCATTGAGAAGCTAATAGCCGATAGCACTTGAGTGAGTTTTACCACAGACATTTGGACGTCAAGTGTTAGCCCCGTTAGCATGATTAGTCTTATGGCACAATGAATAGACAAAAACTTTGATCTTAAAAAGTCTGTCCTTCATGCACAAGAGTGCAGAGGATCCCACACTGCAGCTATAGGAACCTGGAACAAGCCTCCACAAGTGAGACAGCATCAGAGGTGACTAATGCTAATAAATAACATTTAACACTTTTCATTTAATATAAATTAAAGTTCTATGCATATGGCTGTTACTGAATATATGTCATCAGCTCTTACAGCTGTTACACAATTTTTGTAGCAAATGAGCCTAAATAAGAGGACTAAGTTCTGACAAAGAAAAATATATTAAAAATATCGGTATTGGTTATCGGCCAAATAAGTTTTAGCATATCGGATATCGGCCAAAAATCCAATATCGTGCATCCCTACTTTTAAAACCACAAATCTGTAATTATTTATTTATTAAGCACTGTAAAAAACATTTTATTTATTTTCTCAGAATTTGTGTTTTAAGACTAGACACAACAAGACTCTTCTAAGATGCATTCTCCACATTTGCTTTGCAGAATCAGGCCGTCACTTATCCTCACAGTCTATTTCCAAGTCCTCAAGCTCAGTGTCCTTGTACAGTGCAGGATCAGAGGGCACTGCCATCTTTGGCCAGTCAAACAGAGTCTCTGCATCGTCCTCTAATACCGACTTGGCTTCGTCTCTGCCAACAAACCTGCAGGCGGATGGTCTTGAGAATTTCAACCCCTTTCTTCCCATCAGCCTCCTCCAGTGAGTATAGAATGTCGATCGTAAAATTATTTTAATATAACTTTGAGGAATTTAGACAAAAATGGTGGTCCAGTACATTATGAGAAACACATTGAAATTGCACAAACACATTACTTAGTTATCACTATTACTGATTGCTACAGATCTGAATCTTGTGGCAGCAGTGGACATTCTGAAGTCCAGGGAATGGGTGAGTTAGGAATCGCTGTCTACCAAAACAGAATGAAAAAGGTTTAACTCTGTCTTTAACTCGGGCTGAAGCCGCCTGCTTGTTATTCTTCTTCTAACACATCCAGTGTCAGCGAGTGTCTTTTCTCTTATTGTTATAAAACTGAAAAGGACAGATGCCCCCAAGGGAGGAGATTAGATCACTTTGACAAGAATAAACTTTTTGTCAAAGATGGTCTCTTCATCAAAATTCATTTACCTTTCTAAAGTTTTAAGCAATAGTGTTAAAGGTCCAGCTTCCATTGTGATATTACTTTATATAACTTTATCTCCACCTCCTCTAGGCACATGGTGTTAACGCGGTTCCCTACACTTACGGGCCTGGTTAGTGCTCCCCCAGTGTTGCACCCTTGCTTCAGCTTTGCCAGCTCTGCTTCTTGCGATGCCTTCACAGAACAGCAGACTAGCTTCATGGAACCGGGTCCGAGCAGCACACAGGCCAGAAGCAGCCTGGGTAAGAGCAAACACAGAAGTTTAATAGGAGGCATGTCAGAAACACAAATAGGAATGTAGAAAATTAAAAAAATATATTTTATCACATTACATAATCCTGATTTAATGGTAATTCTACATAGTCTAGTGTCCTGACAATAATCACCTTGCTGATGGTTAATTTTTTTTATATATGCTCATCATTCAACAACCTTTTACTCCATGCTGGCTTTAGACTGACACTTAAATAAATTTAAATTAAAAACTAAACTAATTTTGTTCTGCATTACAGTAAAATATTACGTCACCAAATGAAAACTGACTCCTGCATGGTCTTAAATGTTAACAGTAAATCTGCCCCTCAAAACAGCATGTTTTGATCTGCTGTCGATACAAATGCATGCACACAGTCACATGCTGGAATGGCACAATTTTTGTCATTGTTGATTAAGTTGTTGTCACTTTGAATAAGATAAAATAAAAATAACAGGCTATTATTTGCTTTGATTGTTCATTGAGAATAAAGTGCTAAAATGAAGTTTTAGGAGGTTCATAATAGCTATAACGATGACTATAAATAAAGGCAATAAATGATATGAATGGTATATTGTATTAAGCTTCTAAATGTTCTAATAGTGAGTATTTCAAACTGAAATTGTGGAATTGTTTTTGTTTTTGTCTTGCTTTTTGTGCACCTTTTATTGTTTCCTTAACCACCAGAGCGGACACAAATGTTTGTCACCAGTCGCTTGCTAGAAATGGGATTTACTATGAGACATATCTACTGGGCCATGGAGGCAGCAGGTACTGTTTTATGTGGTGCATCTGTTGTCAATTTATTTTACTTTTATTTTCATACATTCCAGTACAATTTAGAATAATTAAAGTTTTTGTATTTATTCATATTCAGACTTTAACTCTGTGTCTTCAGCTGTAGAACAAAGAACAAGTTGTGTTGAACGTGTTTAATGGTTTCACCTCTCTCTCTCAGATTAATAGATTTAGTTGCAAATCTTTTTGCGCGTTCGTAAGCCAGATGACTTTGTTAAAACAAACTTAAAACCATATTTTTCACAGCATGGTACAAATAAAGATACATGTACATGTCACAAATCAAAATAACGTGCATGGAAATTATGAGAAAATATGTGATGCTTTAGAAATGCTTAAACATTGTTATGATACAAACAGATGAGAAATTGGCACAGTCTGTTTTTGTCCAAATTGTAGCCTTTTTTTCCTCCATTGTCACCAATTTACACCAACCTTCACCACACACTGTATTTCTTTGACAAAATTGTCCTCTTACTTTGGATCATATATCGTAGCTTGATCTTCTTGGGGTGGGGATTTAAAAACACCACTTCCTGATTAGTCTTTAACCTTTCAACCTGTGGTTCTTCCCAGATGTAGCAGGTGACTTAGACTCTCAAACCATCGAGGTGTTAGCCAGTTGGATGCTGGAGCACCCCCTGACTGATGACCAGCAAGTAACCGAGTCACCAAGACCTGAGGGTGCTGCTGAGACCCCGTCCCCTGATGGGCCAGAGACGGTGCAATGTCCTGAACGCACCACAAGCCAAACAAATGAAAGGTTTCAGAGGCAGTTTTGACGTTCTGTTTACTTCTTACTTTAATGTGTTGTATATTTTTTATGCTTTAAATTCACTGATGATCTGTTTTGTTTACAGCCTGTTGCCTGGACTCGACTGGATAGAGAGGGAGAACTTCTTGGATGTCCACCTCACTAGAAACAGACCTCCCCCAGCACGGCGGCGGCGCTTAGGACCTACTCAGAGGACCTCCTTCAGACGAGCAGGTCAGAGTCTTTACATGGAAACGAGAGCAAAACGAACAAGAAGAACTTGCTTCAAAATCCAAGTTCTTGCTGAAAATAATCCAGTAAATGCACATTCTCATTTGGTACTCAGACCTGCCATCACCCAGCCCCCTCCCTCAGCTGTTCCCACAACACACAGCAGTCAGTGACTGGCCAGAGCAGGTGGAGTTCCATCCCTTCTCTGCTGAGGAGGAGTCAGAGTTGGGCTACATGGACGACCCGTACCATGAAGAAACGTACGAGGACCTGCTCACCCCTTCATTCTTGAACTTGGAGAGAGACACACTTCAGATTGTAGAGGTGACACAAATCAGCAACTTTATAATATTTAAGTTTGATTACTGTAATGAATCCATGTCATATCTTCAGCATCTATGACTCTTGACAAGAAGCTTGCAGACCTTATTGATTTTACGGATTGTTTTGATCATCGTAAGTTTTTAATGTTTGGTACATGTTTTTTCTTTCAGACTGGGGAAGAACACAGTCAGATGGTGAAATGTGAGCTGTGCAGCACCTTCACCCTGCAGTTTAATAATCACATAAAGCGGCGACACCCAGGTTGTGGGCAGAGTGCTGCTCGCAAAGGCTACGACAGTACCGGTGCTTATGTGGACGTCTGGTTCAAAGGAGAGTGCGGCTCCAACTTTCCGTTCTACCTCCTCTGCAACTCCTGCAGGGAAAAGTATCTGGCTGCTAATTCAAGTGATCCAAATTCCAAACATGAAAGGTACTGAAGATATACAGAGTTTTAGAAATAATGCAAATAAAGGAGAATCAAATGGCTAAGGTGTTTATTTCCACATTTTCTAAAAAAAAAAAAAAATGTATACCATTCTTCATCCTGATCCTGATTTTTTATTTATTTTTTATTTTTCAGGATTAAAGGTCTGACATCTGATTTAATTGGCCAAGTGGATAACACTTCAGATGGTAGGAAATATCATATTTGCTACAAAGATATTTCTATCAAAATTTATTTTTATGCAGATAAGTCTTAAAGATAATTTTATATCATGATTTATGCCCCCCCCCCCCCCCCATTCAGATGACTGGGAAATGAGCCACCAAGATGAGGAGGACACAGACAAATTGACAGGATTGGAGGATTTTGGAGTCCTACTGAGACCACTGGGGCTGACGGAAAAAAAGCTCATACCAGATCCCATTTTCTTTACTGAACCCGATCCACTTGGCGCTCTAGTTTACAGCTCATCCTGCCCTACAAGAGCTGCTTCCAAATGTATTATTTTATTTTGTTTTCTTGAACAATTTTTTTTCTCAAGAATCATTTTTAAGTCTTTTAAATAGTAAATATGCTGATTTTTGCAGTATAATATATTGCTTGTATCTGAAGAAAGTATATTTTGATGTGCTTTTGGCACTAGGTGGTGCCCATGTTGACCAGAAGACCTGTCTGAGCCTCGGGCAGCAGGCGATGTCTCTGAGGGATTCTCACGATCGACTGAAGGCTTTACGAAGAGTCACGTCCACTGCACAGATTTTGTTGGCGTACAGCATGGTGATGAGAGCTCTGTCTCATACCGCCTCAAGGTAAATATTTCCTCAGTAGTATTTGATTTATTTTTGCTCCAGCTGCTGTTTTCAGCTGTTCTTTTTTTGTCTTCTTTTTCAGCGCATCAGTATCCAGCCAGTCTAACGGACTAGAGTCCTTGGGGCTTGCAGATATCCGTATCCTGGTGCGTCTGATGACTTTAGCTGCGGGCGGCAGAGCACACACCTGTGTGGACAATCAGTCCGTTGGGAAGGGGCTGGTGACAGAACGCAACAACTCTACCTGCCTCACCTTTCTGACCTCGGCCATCAGCTGCGTTGTGTCTCAGAGTCCTGCTGCTTACAGGCAACTGGTGGAGATATGTACTCAGGTTGGCTTTCTTCCGTCAAAATGTAGAGATTTGGGGTGTTTGAACATAAAATGCACATTAAAATCACTGATAAAACATTTGACTTCTTGTTTGACATTTAGGTAAATAGAATTATTTGTAACTTTTAATATTTTAGTTTAGTTTTAGTTAATTTTTTTAATATGTAAAAAAAAACAGCATGAAGCACAATGTCAAAACTTTTGTTTTACATATTATAAACTAATTAAAATTCCCACTCCTTAACCACTTACATAATTCTACATTTATTACATTTAATCCATACATACAACAACTAAACCCATATTTAATAGTTAACCCATCCATATACTGTAGTATTTATTTAGTTTTAACTACAGTAGATGATCAATTATTATTTAACTTCACCAAAAAACAAAACTAGCATCAATAAGAAAAACACCAACAATAATTGAATAACAGTATTACATATTCAGCATTAATCAAATATTTGTATGATAATTTGAACAGTTTTATGTTTGGACATTGTCTGATTTGAATATTCAAATTATTCCACAGTTTGACTCCACTTACTGATACACAAAAGTTTTGTGTACTTATGCACACTGTATACTTGTACAGCCTAGATTTAATTTACCAGGCATTTATCTGCTTTTCACCTTAGAATATTGTAAGTAGCAAATAAACTGATGTAAATTTAGGCTGGGGTGTCAGTAAGGCTTACCTTAACATCTCTACAAGAAAACAATGTGCCCATTCAAACATAAAAAGTTTTGGTGCAACAAATGTATTTTTTCTCCAATTATAAATAATATGCAGTACTGTAGTTTCAAAATGTAAGTAATTAATGTCATGTATCAAAACAAATGATGCATTGCGGTCCTTGAAATTTAAAGCAGTAACTTTTTCAGTCATGTCCCACTTCAGTTGATGAACATGCAGGAAAACAGATGTGCTTTTTATCATTTCACTCTTAGTGTATTGTTTTTTTCTTTAGGACCTAATGACAGCAGCTACAGGGGTGAACATTGGAGCCATCACTGAACCACCACAGAGGACAACTTTAACAACTGCGACCCAGGGGGTCTTGCAGCAGACAGACCTTAGTAATCAAACACCTCCAACATTTCTAGTCACACAGCGTCTGGTGTCCCTGCTCACTGAGAAGAGCATTCACTGTTTCAGCCCTGACAGAGCTGAACACGACGCTAATGGTGAGAGTGACTTATACTTGTTTCATTTCATTACTTGTAGTAATTCATTACAGTGTCGTTTACCATTTGGCAATGTGTACGTTTGGCCTAGATGAAGCAAACCAAGGCAGGTGTTCCTCATCTTTACCTCCTTCCCCTTCACCTCGTCTGCGTGCCAGAGTGGGCCCTCTGGAACTGGCAAATGCATTAGCAGCGTGCGTCCTGTCTGCAAGACTTACCAGTAAGCACAGACAATGGGCAGCACAGCAGCTGGTGAAGGCCTTGGCTGCTGCAGGGAGAGAAACTCCCAATCGTCCTCAAACATACAGCGACCTGGCTGGTGATTTGCGGAAATGTCCTCTTAAGAGACTCGAGGGGCATTATAACAAGGTGAGCTTTCTAGTCCTACCATTTGACAAGTGGTGCGTTTTTATAGTTTTTCTCGTCACTCACATGGAATATAGCACAAATTAGTTTTGTTTCTTGTTATTTGTACAGGTTGCCAGCTGTTTCTGGAACAGTGAGCAGAGTTTGCTTGCAACATGCTCTCAAGACAAGGTGGTGCAACTGTGGAGAATCAGCCAAAATGCTGTGGAGTTACAGACCACCTTCTCCTGCATTGCTAGGTTATATCTGCATATTTTAGTATTGTTTAACACGTGTTTTAGTGTTATGCTTATTGTTAAATTATCTGATTTATCTATAGCCATAATTATTTTATTATAAAATGTAAACGACACATTTCAGGTTCTTGTAGTCAAAGAAACATACTTTAAACTTTGTGACTATATGGCAGAGCTGCTATAAACTAAATGGCAATCTATAGTAACATATGCCCTGAATTCCCAGTTTTTTTTTATTTATTTATTTATTCCTTGATGCTTTTCAGCAAGGTGGACCGATCAAGCAATGAGAGAGCTGCCAGATGTCAGCACACGTCTCCTGTGTGCTGGAGCAGTGGGGGAAACTTTCTGGCTGCCCCTGAAAACAAACACATCAACATCATGAACATCAGAGGTCAGTATCATTCAAAACTGGTTCAAATTTTAGATTTAATATCAACAACTAAATGCTTTTGTTGATTCTATGCATACCAAGGATGCACAATATTGGATTCTTGGCCGATATGCCAGTATGTTAAAACTTATTTGGCTGAAAACAGATACGATTACCAATTTATTTTACAGAGACTACATAGCTTTCTCTGCTGTGGAATTAAACTACTAAATTATTCTGCTTGGTCCAAGTTGATGTAACACTTCAACTTGGATTATGTATATTTGGATAAACTTGGATATTATACATCGGTGCGTTAGATAGAATGGCCGATGCCCAAGATTTAATTTTAACTCTAATATTGGTCGATACCGATACCATGCCGATAATATTGTGCATCCCCAATTCATACATTATATTCAATGCTTAAACTGTTTGTTGAGAGGCTATCAAGATGTTATAATTCTTTATATTTACAAAAACTGTGAATTATGTTGTTACCACACAGAAAACATGTGTAGTCTGCCTTCATGTTTTACAGTAAAGAAAATAATGTATGATTTTTATTTTTTTTTTTACAATAACATCAAATCCGTCTTTAAATCTGTAGATTGGCAGAACAAATTTCAACATTCTCATTCCTCAGTTGGCGCAGATGTTTAAATTAAATTTTAGATGATCTCTTCTATTCAGATGAATGTTTACATCCACTTGCGCTTAATCACATTTTCAGGACATCTCAGTGCACAAAGTATTTATGGGAACATTTTACAATGTTGAAGTTCAAATGCAAACTATTCTCTGCTTTTAAGCAACAATTTAAGTACTCCCATCTTATGTCACTCTCTACTAGTTAGGGCAACTTCCTTTACTCTAACATTATCCAGAAAAAATCTCAGGTAGTCCTTTTTTTTCCAGTCATGTTTCAGGAGAAAAATAATATGCTTCCTATAACTCAAGTTACATTCTTTGCTTTGTTCGGTTATCAGGTCGTATTAAATATAAGGTGTATAGGCGTTGTTTTTAGTCTTGGTGGTGTCACTTTTATGTACTTTTCTGTCAGTTTTTATGGGAAAATATGCAATAAAGCGTTGAAATCTACAGTAGGTTCAGCCTTTAACATCAGAAATGTCCGATAATTCAGTGTATTAGTATTATAATAATGAGAACTTAATCTGAATTATTTCTGTCACATTCCAGGGACTCTCTGTCATGTAAATGTTCAGAGTTCTCGGGTCACCGCTCTTTGCTGGGCCCAGAGCTTCAACTTGTACCTGTTGGACCAGTCGGCCAGCTACAAGAGCAGAACTGCTGAGAGCCTGCTGGTGGGGCGGCTGGATGGCTCCCTCTGCTGGCTGCAAGTCACAGTGCAGGATCTGGATCTGCTGGTGAAGAGAACTGAGCTGAGCCACTGTTACAGGGACGAGGGTGAGGAGAAAGCTGCTTATGTTAACTGGATAATGAACATAAATGGCTGATTAAACAAACTGTTTCTTTGTTCAGTTAAAGGATTGGTAGTACTTACACCTGTATATGGTTATCTTAGAGACTGACTTGACTGTAATCAGAAAGGAACAACTGATCAAGTAGCTTCTTTTTTGTTGTCTTTATACTAAAGTAACAGCTTGCAAGGTCTAACTTTAGATTCACTAATGAGATAGAAGCCTCCTAGAGAAAGGAATATGCTATTTACTTGGACTGATCTGTTCAATTACTCAGCCCCCTACTGCTTAGCTTGGCACACGGAGGACAAGCCTTTTGCTGTGGGTTATACCAGTGGGAAGATCCTTTTGGCTACAACTGAGATGTATGAGAACGCACAGCCTGTAGTTCTGTCACTCTTCCAGGTTTGTCATACGAATCACATTCACAGTAACTGTAATTTATCACACACACACAAAAACCCGCACAAATGAAAACAGACTAATTGAAACTTTTCTGACTACTTTAAAATAACACATAAAATAAATATTGCACACAGTAAATACTTAGTTCCTTTAATTACTGTAGTACTTCCTTAATCCCATTTCTTTTGGGGAATGACTTTACACACTTGACTCACTCATTGCTCCTTTTTGTCAACATTGTTCAGGTATAAAAGTTGAATAAAGTTTTCTTGAATCCACTCAGGGAGAAAATATCCTAAATAAATCTCTTTTTTTTTTAAACAACAGTCAACTTTATTAAACTTGTAGAAAACTTGAAGGAGTTGGAAAACTTTCCTTCAGCTTTTAATTTTACTTTTTGTAAATGATGTTTTTAAGCACAATGCTCTGCTATCTCTCATGCTTTGTCAACTTTTTGAACCACATGGTATAATTTGTTTTGACGCAGCTCATAGCGTACCTGTTCTTTGCTTCACTCTGTAGGACAGTGTGAGTTCCCTGAAATGGGACCCTACTGGACACCTGCTGTTATGTTTGGGGAGGTCAGAGGTGGTGAAAGTACTGGGACGCTCCGGGGGCACCTGGGTGACTCTGCACTCTCTTTACCACACCAGCATTGTTAACATTGCAGAATGGTGCCCGCTAGCTGGCAGAGTACCCATACCTAGACTTCTGATGGCTGTGTGAGTTATACTTGTTTTGTTCTCACTCTGAATAGACTATTTCTAAAATATACTTGTTGCAGTAAAACAAAACAAAAATCATCTTAATATTCACACTGGAGTGTCTTTATTCATGCATTTGTTGCGTTGTTTTTTCTCTTCATGTGTCTGTAGTGGTTGTCTGAATGGCTCGGTGCATGTTTGGACACTACCACAGGGTGGGACTACTGTATCTCTGCCCAACATACTGAACAGCCCCCCAAGCCAAGATAAGAACAATGAAGTCCAGGTCAATTTGGATTTCCTAATAATGATTTTCTTGTAGACTTGGTATTAAAAAAAATATTCAAATATGGCTACATTCAATCTCTAAGTTACTTTTGAAAATATTTATTTATAGAATCAGAAATAACCATTCAATTCTTGTTTCCTCTTTATTTTTATTTTTTTTAGCAGGATGGTGCAAGGTGTGCCTTTGTACTTCATGGTCATATTACAGCAGTGAAGTTGCTTTCATTTTGTTCCAGTGGACTGGCTCTGGTTTCTGGGGGGATAGGGGGGCTGCTCAACATCTGGTCTCTGCAGGTAAAACAAAAAAATATAACTTCACTGCTGCTGCACATCCTGACATAAAACCAGACCAGCCACCTCCTATAATCATGTTCTGAATCGAGTATGTGATCATCTAAATATTGTACTGTAACATAACGTATGAACTGTTTCACACAGGATGGTTCAGTGTTACAGACCACTACTGGACTGGGTTCAGTTGTCAGCGCTACCTGGATACCACACTTAGGTGTAGCTGCTTGTTTTGGAAGGTCCAAGGTAAGTTAAGTTATTAATAGACGCACACTGTTTACTGTACTATTGCTTATTTCCATGGTCATTATCTTCCAGGATGTTTTACTGATCTGCTGCACCCCTGACTGGATCAGTCAAAACCACGTGTTGGCCTCCTGCCGTATGGTCCTCAGGAACCAGAACATCTTGGGCCTGAATCTGGCGCCTTGTTTGGCTGTTTTCTTAGAGAGGCTGCCCTTGTTGCTACAGGAGCAGTACAGCTACGAGCGGGTCATTACTGAGACAATGTTTGGAAGTTGATTTACTGTTTGGGGGTTTTCAGCTCAGACATATGTCTGTGTGTTTTGTAAATGCAGAACCACGTGACTGCCGGCGATCAGCTCGTCCACAGTGCCTTCCTGCAGAGTCTGGCCTCCCTGGCTGTTGGTCTGTCCTTAGAAAAACATCTGTGCACTTACCCACAGCCCCCACACCACACCTGTCCTGATGCTCAGTCCTGCCCATCAGAGTGGAGCTGGCTGCTCACCTATGCCACTACTGTCTGCAGTGCAGAGGCTATTGCCAGTGGTACTGCCTTCCCTGAATCCTTTGTCGTTTCTGAGTTTCAGGAGGTGGAACACTCTAACATTGTCAAAGCACTGGTAAGTGTTGAAGTTGATGTGACTAAATTCATGTAATATGATGTGTCCAGTTGTTTTAAACAGGTTACTTGACTTCTAGGACAATAGTAAGTGGAGTTTCAAGATGGATGAACAGCTGATGTCATGGGCCACAAACAGGCCAGAGGTAAAAGTGGACAATGTTATTTATCTAAGACTTTCTGCAAACATTATCAAAGTCCAAAAGCTACAGGGAATTAAACGATTTTGTTTTACACAAGTGTCTGTGTTTCGTAGGATTGGCAAGAGGGAGGTAGGAGTGAGGTGTACCTTTGGGGGAACGGACGATATGGACAATTGGCAGGAATGGGGACAAACCTTATGATGCCTACATTGGCTCCCTCTTTGTTACAGACACAACAGGTAGTTACATTTTCATTCAGGATACAGTCTCTATGAGAACTACAGTTTTGTAATATTTATGTATATATATTTTTTACTAGGTCGTATGCGGTCAGAACTGTACATTTCTAGTCCAGTCCAATGGATCCGTTTTGGCTGTAGGTGAAGGACAGTATGGTAGACTGGGCCAAGGGAACTCTGATGACCTCTTTGTTCCCACTCTTATTTCTGCATTTCAAGGTACATATTCATCAAAGGACTAATAATGCAACTGGTTGGTTGATCAATATTTGTTTTCTTTTGTTTTCAGTATCTTTGTGAACAAAAATAGGAATGTTTTAAATGTTCACATCTCCTGTTCTACCTAAATTGTGATTAACTATCTGTCAAACCTGTGGGCAGGGTATGTGGTGACCCAGCTGGTGACATCTTGTGGTTCAGATGGACACTCGATGGCCCTGACTGAAACGGGGGAGGTATTCAGTTGGGGAGATGGAGATTTTGGCAAACTGGGCCATGGCAACAGTGAAAGACAAAGGAGACCCAAACAGATAGAGGCCTTACAAGGAGAGGAGGTCATCCAGGTAAATTTCGGATTTATTCAGTTTAAGTTTATCTGTTTGGTTGTACACGTTCATCAGCTTTTGTAAAAATGTTGACTTTAATCAAGTGTCACATGCAGCAACGTCCACAACAGCACTTGATGGCAGCTTCAAACACTGATTTGCAAAATACAGGAGGACATTAGTGTTCATTAGGTCACTGACAATAAAATAAAGGTGAATGTAATTTTATTGTTGTTACAAGTAGGGGTCCCTCAAGAATAATAATTAAAAAAAAAAAATCTAAATTGCTGCATTTATGTGTTCAACATCCAGTTATACCATTTTTGGTGTTTGTAAGTTTGAGCTTGTGTAAATTGTTCATGATTTGAAAAAAAAAAGCTATGTTTTCACCATTTACATGCATCTCCAACATTTTCTACACCAGATGCAGTGTTTCATTAGTTAAAAAAAAATCTGAATCTGAATATAACACTACTTTGATTATGCTCTGTCTTCTTTGCTCAGCTCGCTTGTGGCTTCCGGCACTCCGCCATCATCACAGCAGATGGGAAGCTGTTCACCTTCGGCAGTGGTGAATCCGGTCGTCTGGGTCTAAGGTCAACGTCCAACAAGATGCTACCTGAAAGGGTGACTGCACTGGAGGGATATCATGTTGGACAAGTAGGCCACAGATTTTCTGTGTTTCAAATTTTAACAAATATTCTAGTCTCCCTGACGGAAATGGCATATTAACGTTTACTTCCATTCCTCAGGTGTCGTGTGGTCTCAACCACACATTAGTGGTATCTTTGGATGGCATGATTGTGTGGGCATTTGGAGATGGGGATTATGGGAAATTAGGAACTGGTTCATCCACAGCAAAATATTACCCCCAGGTATGTTAACACTAACAAAGACTTACTTAGGAATCCCTTAAAGACAAAATACAGTATGGTTATGTTAGTTTTTATCTAATTTCCATCCTGTACTTGAAATGAGAATTATTAGATAAATTAATGCACAACCTAATTAGCAGAGCTAAAACAGGTCTCTCTTGAAAATGAGTTCTCGTGACTCAATGAGACTACCTGTATAAATAAAGGGTAAATAAACAAATGCTTTATACATATACAGTATATATATAATATATATACATATTTATATGTGTGTGTGTATTAATCATGGATGTAGTACTCCCTACCACCTTTTGTACAATATGTGCATATTGTCTTTTTCCAAATTGTGTACTCTGCTTCTTTTGTGATTGTTTCATGTGTTTTGTCTGTCTGTCTGTATTTATCTATATGAAGATTATATGACTTTGGTTGATTATATTTTCAGAAAGTGGAACAGCTTTGCAACAAAAGAATTAAGAAAATTTGTTGTGGGACCCAGTTTTCTGTGGCTCTGGCCTGTGATGGACATGTTTACACATTTGGACAAGGTACTTTTTATTGTGAAAGTCAGTTGTGTTGTGCAAAAATGAAAATGCACCTCAAGGTTACATAGGATATTGGATGTAATTATTTTTCAACTGTGACTATCTTCAGGTATATTTATTCATTTGTTGTTTATTTGACAAGAACAAAACATGTGTTTGCTAAATCTGATAGACAAAAGTCAGCTGTTAAAATATGAGCAAGATTTCTAGTTATGGGTACAGCTTGTGTTTTTTTAGGCTTAAAACATACATGTTTTTTAATATTATTAACGCAAGGCTTCTTATTTTAAAATCAACTCATCTAAAAGGTTCTTTAAAACAATTAGTTTTTATATACATGTAAAATATATTAAGTAAAACTGTACTGTTTGTACAGATATTCTGTTTTTGTCACCACCAAATTCTTTATTTTTTAACCACAAGTCACTCAGATCACAAGACATTAAAATACTACAGAGAAAATCAGTATACATATCAGTATATATAGCATTCCGTCATTATTTTGTTCATCCTTCAGAGCGTCTCATTGGTCTGCCGGACTCCATGCTGAAGAATAAATCCAGCCCCCAAGTGGTGCCATCACTGGAGGGGGTGTTCATCGAGGACATTGCAGTGGGTTGTGAACATGGGCTGGCTCTGTCCACCACTGGAGACGTTTACGCGTGGGGCTGCAACAGTGAGGGACAGGTAACCAGCCTGAACTGCCAGAACACAAGGCATTGAGAAAATGAGGGGTTTTCTTGAATTACACATTGATTTATTTTATACATGTGTTTCAGCTGGGTCTGGGACACTCTAATCCAGTGAAGGAGCCGGCACTCGTCACTGCCCTCCAGGGTAAAAACATTCGACAGATCTCTGCTGGTCGCTGCCACAGCTCAGCGTGGACAACCCCCACTACACCGATAAAAAGTTCAGGTACAGTGTTACTGTATCTGTGCACACAAATACTCTACGATCAGTAAAAACGACAGTCCTGTGATTGTGTGTTGTTTTCACTAGCAGGTGGCTCAGGACTTTTGCAGCTTGGCCTTCCCCAGGCTGTCCCTCCTCAGTACAACACTCTGAAAGACTGCAGCCCTGATATCCTCAGCGTGCGCCTCAGGGTGCTCCACCATTTCTCTGATCTCATGTACAAATCCTGGAGGCTACTCAATCTGGACACCAAGAAACCGGTGCGTTAAATCTCATTGCTCTTGTTTAAATATGAACTTATATCTGTTACTGGGTCGTTTTTATGTTTCACTGTAATCCAACATTTTTCAGTCAGGTCATCTGGACAGTTTCTTGTTTTTGTGTGTGCTGAAACGTTTCACCTTCAATCCAGAAGGCTTCATCGGTCAAGGAAATGCACAACACAAAACTGATTCTTCCCCCAACAGCTTGCTCCAAAGTGGAACAAACCAGTTATGTTGGTGCTAAGATGGTCTCTTTGGCACGCCCCCTCCTCCATTGCCAGCAATCCAAACGCTGGATTGTATACCTGAATTATTGAGCATGGACTTTGTTGTTTCACTGTAATGCACCTTTCTCTGCCCATGTTTTATTCCCTTTTTTCCGACTTCTGTCCAGATGTCCACTTCACGCTATAGTTCAGGGACTGCAGCCATCATTCGAGGTGAACTCAGAGGGCTACTGTCACCCAAGGTCAACACTCTGCCTCTTGTGCGCTCAATCGGCAGAACAATGACCCAGGGCAAAACATATGGGCCACAAATCACCGTGAAACGCATTTCAACAAGGTAAAAATGGTGTTAGGTCTGCTGGCAATAAAATAAATATCTGCAGAAGACGATATACAGAGGAGACAAAACAGCCGGCTATATTTTGTGCAAGTAATTTTTGTGTTTTTAACTCCCTTGTAAATAAAAGCATTTTAAATTCTACTCTCACAGAGGGCGTTCGAGCAAGCCCATCTTTGTGCAGATAGCTAAGCAAGTGGTGAACCTGAACCCTCTGGAGCTCCGGCTGCCGTCACGAGCCTGGAAGGTGAAGCTGTTGGGGGAGGGAGCTGACGATGCTGGAGGAGTGTTTGATGATACTATTACTGAGATGTGTCAGGTAGGATTAAAAAGCACACATTTGAGAGCATCACAGGCTGTGACAGGAGTGAACTTGTTGTCCTGATGCATGCTCATAATCCAGGTAGATAAATGTTCTCTGGACGAAGAACTTGTCCAGAGGACCTGACTCTACCTCGTTATATTGAACTTGTTGTGTTTTGTGTTGTGCTCCAGGAGCTGCAGTTGGGTGTGGTGGATCTCCTCATTCATACTCCCAACAGCTTTGCAGATGTGGGCTGCAACACTGACAGGTGGAACAGTTTTAGTTATTTTTCATACTATCTGATTTTCAAAAATATTTATCTGGTGGTTAGTGTCACAGTAACCCTGAGGTTGTGGGTTTGAGTCTAGGTTGCGTTAGGAAGGGCATCCTGCCTACCATGCAAGTTCACTCACTGTGGTAACTCCTGCAGAAGGGAGCAGCAGAAGGAAACCTCTAACGATGTCTGCATGTCCGTTTAGGTTCTTGCTTAATCCGGCGGCACACTCAGAGGATCACATGATCCAGTTTCGCTTTTTGGGTATCCTCATGGCGGTGGCCATACGCACCAAGAAGCCTCTGGACTTGCATCTAGCTCCATGGGTGTGGAAACAGCTCTGCTCTATGCCACTTGGAGGACCTGACTTGGAGGAGGTGGACCTGCTCACCTACCGCACGCTTCAAGGCATCCTTCACCTGGAGAACAGCGGAATCACTGCAGATAATTTCCATGTGGTGAGAAACTCTTAGAACTGAATCATTACAAGCTCAGTTCATCTTAACACATTTATAATTTTACATTTTCTCCATAAAACCGATGGCTTTGTTTTACCTCTCCGCAGATGATCCCGTTGGAGTCATTCATGGCTCACAGTGCAGATGGAAGGCTGGTTCCTGTGGTTTCTGGAGGTCAGAACATCTCTCTAACGTTTGCCAACCGGACTGAATACGTAGAGAGAGCTTTGGACTACAGACTACATGAGATGGATGCGCAGGTTTGAGCAGCAAAATGTGGAACAGTTCAAATGTAACTGAAAACAATTTGAAGCACGTAGAAAAGCTATAAATTAAGTTGACAGGCTCACACAATTTGTATCATTACCAAATCATGTTTTTTCTGCTGTTAAAAAAAACAACTGTGTCCTGCGTTGTTCTGCAAACAAGCTCTATTATACAACCTTCATCTAAACAGACTGTCTGCAAATAAATCAACAAATGCAGGTAGATCAGCATAAAAGTACTTATCAGATAATGTATGAAACGGATATTTTCAGCACAAGTGTTAAGAAAATAAAATTAAAAAAAGTGTTGACATGGTATATATATGGTATGGTATATAGTTTATTCATTTTAAAAAAGTACAAAACAATTCCATAACAATATAAAAAAAGATACAAAAGATTTAAAATGAAAGGCAGCAGAAAGAAGAAAAAATCTTATTATATCTGCCCCTTTTTACAAACAATTATTTCAGACATAATAATTTTCAAGTAACAGTATAAAATGAATAACTTTCTAATTTATCTAATTCTAATACAAAACACACACTAAGCTACTTCATATATACTTTTTTAACAATTCAGTTTTGATTTTTTTCTTAAATGTGCACATTGACTTGGCATTTTTCACATCACTCTCTAGACCATTCCACAATCCAACTCCTTGGATTGAGGTAGACCTTCCCTTCAGACTAGTTCTGAATTTTGGTTTGACAAATATCTCTATCCCCTTAAGATTGTAGCAACTTTGTCTTTTAATAAAATTCCTTTGGATATTTAATGGTAATGTGTGATTTTGAGCCCTATACATAACTGATAAAATACTGTAATCTACTAAATCATGGAACTTCAATAACTTCAGTTGATAAAATAATGTGCTTGATGGGTGACTGTAATGCTTTCTGGTGATAATTCTTACAGCTCTTTTCTGTAAAATAAAAATAGGTTTTGTAAATGTTTTACACGCTTTCCCCCAAACATCAATGCAATAGATTAAATGTGGAACAATGATTGTGTTATACAACATGTACAGAGCTTTATCATTTAATAATTCCCTGACTTTGTATAGTACTGCAATAGATTTAGATATTTTTGTTCTTACAGAATTTATATGATTTTTCCATGTTAGCTGTTCATCAATGATTACACCCAAAAATTTCATCTCATTAACTCTACAAATCTCAACACCCTCAATTTTAAATGGATCATCAACAGTTCTCTTTTTGTTGCTAAATATCATGTATTTAGTTTTTTCTAAATTTAATGATAATTTATTAAGTTTAAACCAAGTTTGTATTTTATCAAATTCTGTCTTCATCAATTCCAACATCCGTTTTACATCTTTACCCAAACAGAAAAATGTGGTGTCATCTGCAAAAAGGACACATTTGAGGAGTCCTGATACATTCACTAAGTCATTCACATATAAAATAAATAACTTTGGTCCAAGTACAGAGCCTTGAGGAACTCCACAAGTGATATTGCACAGGTCAGATCTTACACCATTTATTTGTACAAACTGCTTCCTATCTTTTAAATAGCTAGATACCCAGTGTAATGCTTGTCCTCTTATACCATATTTATTTAATTTTTCAAGGAGAATAGTGTGGTCAATAGTATCGAATGCTTTTTTTAAATCAACAAAAATACTAACACAATACTGTTTTTGATCGACAGCAGTAGTTATTTGTTCCATTATTTCCATGAGAGCCATCGATGTAGAGTTTTTTGCTTTAAACCCATACTGACTGCTACTTAGAATGTTTTGTTTAGTAATAAATTTATCTAATCTGGTCACAAACAGTTTTTCTAGAATTTTTGAGAACTGTGGTAATAAGGATATTGGTCTATAATTATTGAACACACATTTATCACCATTTTTAAAGAGAGGAACTACCTTTGCTACTTTCATATTGTCTGGAAATATTCCTTTTGAAAATGATAAATTACAAATATATGTAAACGGCTCGATAACATAACTCATTATGTCCTTTACAAACATCATATCCTACATCATGCTGTATTAGAAAATAAAGACGCTTTTGAAAAGTTTGTCATATCAAAACGGTATATAACCCCTTTACCACAGCTCTGATGATAAGTTGATTAGGGTAATTAATTTTTTTCATTCATTCGACCTTTATTTACACAGATAAATCACATTGAGCCTCGAAGACTCATTTACATGTGAGACCGCTTTAGACAGACAAAAAGTAATGAAAGTGACACATGCAGATTGTATTGTATAGATTTTATGAGGGGCACTAATTATTCACAAGAACAAAGAAAAAACAAATATATGAAGTGGGTTATTTATGAAGAAGTAAAAACAGCAAAACTGTATACACAGTTACATAAGTACTGTTACTTTATTAGACCACTTTAATGTAACTGAGAATGAATGCTTCATGTTCAACCTGGTTAATTTCAAATATTATCCCAGGATCATCTGAGGCTACTAATTTTGACAAACGTTTTCTAATTATATATTTAGTTCATTATTTAAATACGTAAAGGTTCATCTGAGTTTTTTATTTTTGTTAGTTTAAAAAGTACACTAAAACTTTCCAACTCAAAGCAAATAAACCAATAAAGTTAGGCTGACATTTTGGTGAGATTATTTCAGTCTTTAAAAAAAAATTATACATTTTAATCTGGCTTTACTTTAATTAAACAAACCAAATAGTCAAAATTATTTTAAAAATTCCAAAAATCTTTGTCCTGGAGCTGTCGTAGCTCGGTGGTCAGTCCTGCAGTCTCGTAATCCTGATGCTGCGGATTTGTTTGAGTCTATGTTGCATCAGGAGAGTAATCCGTTACAAACCAGTTGAATTTCTGTGCAAGGTCACTGCAGAAGAGAGCAGCAGAAAGAAAAACAACAACAACAACAACAACAATAATAATAATAAATCTTGTCCTGACTGTCCCAGTGTACTGGGTCTGCCTACCAGTTTCCATTAGTTTTCATTTGACAGTCTGATTGATGTTGTTCTAAGACGTTTCAAGGTTGAGTTTGTTCTGGTCCTTCCAGGTGGACGCAGTCAGAGAGGGCATGTCCACCATCATCCCCGTGCCCCTCCTCTCCCTGCTGACGGCACAGCAGCTGGAGCAGCTGGTTTGTGGCCTGCCCCAGGTCTCTGTGGACATGCTGAAGAAGCTGGTGCGTTATCGCGACGTCACCGAGACCCACCAGCTAATCGACTGGTTCTGGCAGAGCCTGGAGGAGTTCACCAATGAGGAGCGGGTGCTTTTCCTGCGCTTTGTTTCTGGCAGGTCCCGGCTGCCTACCAACCCGGCTGATATCCCACAGAAGTTTCAAATCATCAAGGTTGACAGGGTGAGCTCATCAAAGTTAGAGATACACAAATCCACTTTTGTTTAGTTCTCATTCAGTGTCTGGTTTTAGTTAAGATTTTAGTGGTTAGCATCTGTAACAGCAGACTGTGTCTTCCTTACATGGTTTATACAGCCTACCTTGACTCGTCTCCCCATTGCTGCTTATTTTTGTCTTCAGCCCATCAATGGACTCCCTACTGCTCAGACCTGCTTCTTCCTGCTTCGCCTGCCCCCATACACAAGCCAGGCCATCCTAGCCGAGCGTCTGCGCTACTCAATCCACAACTGTCCCTCCATCGATATGGACAACTACATGCTCACTCACAACACGGACCCAGCAGACAGCTCAGACGAGGACTGAAGCCGAAGACTGTACAACAGTGAGGAATGTATCTTTGCTGCGGCCATACACAATATGCACTGAACAGATTGTTTGCCAAACTTGTGTGTTAAGGTACTATTTCTACATTGGTTTATTTAAAGACGTATTGTTTGATTTTCCAACTGCGCCTGGTGTTGTACGTATTGGAGTGCTACTGCAGGGAAAATAATTAGATTTTAAAAATTATTGGCCACTGAGCCACAATAACAGTTTATGTGCCTGTTCATTTGAAAATATTTATTAATTTATTGACTCACTTGCTGTAGTTATTATTATTGTAAAATAAAGAGTGTTGAAATATTGACTTGGCGTAGTGTAACCTCTGAATGTCAGTTTGGGTGTAAATAAATCACTAGTTTATCATCCAGACACAGTGCTGGCGTGTAGAGCAGCCCTTAGAAGCGACTTGAAGGTAAGAGAAATATTGTACATGTGAGGCATTTACTATTTGCGTTTTTATTTTCTCATACAGGTAGGAAAGTATTTAAACAAATTGTTTGAAACTCATTAGCTAGGCTTTGTGCTGTTCAGCAAAGGCCAATTATGTCAGAAAAAAAAAACATTTTTAATTTGTTGCTTGTGGCAGCGATTGAGGATGCACATCAAGCTAACTGCTCAGAGCACAGCTCATTAAAAACAAGTTTCCACCAACTGAAACATCTCAACACCACTTCAACCAGTTTGTGCAAATACTTTGAGTAATTTTACATGCAGCCACTTTTATTAATCAAACTTGTGTGTTGCTACAACGTGGGCTAAATAGCTGCTAAAATATCCTATCACTGATCATCTGAGTCCATCAATAGTAGCTTCATCTTTAATTAGTTATTCCTCAGTGCAGTTTGTCTCCGACGGATTACATTAAAATCATTAATTGTAACATCAAGCACTTTAAGCTCTCAGCTGGAAAAAAAACTAATTTTTTAGATGTGTGTTTATATATTTTCCTTATCTTCTGAGAAAACCTTGTTCAACGATAAATATAGACAATTATTTTAGGGCTCATGAAATAATTCAGTTTTACATTAATATAAATGTTAATTTATTTATATGGGAATGAACAGCTGAAGTGTCTTGGAGCTCGATGGTGGACTTGGCCCCCATAAATTAACATTTGACCACCTCTAATTGTTTAAGAAATCTATACTTTTTAAGCATTATAAAAACTAGAAAGCACGCTTTACTCGAATGATAGGAGAGATACGTGATATATAAAAGCAAAAATCCAGACATGCTCCTGTTTTTAGTATCTTACACTGTTTTCTAATGTAGCATGTTTTTTATTTTTATTTTGTTTATACACTTTTCATTTTATACACTTTCAGATTTTGACATGGCATCCATTTTTTGATAGACCTTTTTTCCCCCATGCCTAGATGCAGCCACATATCAAAATGGAAGTTGGCATGTTGCTTATTTTTCAAGTTATCCAGCTCAAAAGGTTTACTTATGTGCATATATGGCAACAGCTATCTTGGACTTTGACGTACAGCAGACATCGGAAATTTCTGCAGGTTGGAATGGAAAACTCCGATATGTAAATTGTGCTGGTATCGGAGGCCTCATCCCTAGTTTAGACTAGGAAAACTGTAGGTCAGCTATTAAATTTAGCAATACAGACTTAAATTCTCCAAGCTGCGATTACCAAAACATCTACAGCAGGTAAGATACTGACTAAAAAAAGCCTAATTATCCTTTTAAATATGTGAAATTGGACTTTTAAACAATGCCTGCTGACAAAATCTCAAGTTAGGTTTTGAGAAAAGTTCTAAAACTACGATTACAAAGGACTAAGCTTCAGGAACATACAGTCAAACTAATAATAAAGCCATTAAATGTATATAAATACACTTAAAATATAACAAATACTGCCATAAAAGACCGTTTTCATCAATGTGTCCCTCAGATACAGATTTGGTCTTTATTTAAATTGACTTATTTTCCGTAAATTTTGAGTGCCGTAGTCTTGGTGTCATCCACACAACTGGAGATTCTCATAGATGTTATTTCTGAATCCAGGCCAGACATTAAACAGTCCCAGATAAAAAAAAAAATTTTTCATTCCAGTTTTTTCAATATTTTTAAAATTTATTTAAACCACTAAATATCTTTAGGTGGGATAAAAATAAATAAAATAAAATAAAACATTGGAAGTTCTCTTTGAAAACACTGGCATAGAAACAATCTAGTGAAAATAGCTTATGTCCCTCATGCAACGTCTGTTTCTTGTACATTCAGGCTCAGAGTTAATGATGTATCAAACTGTCTTGTGGTTTTTACAAAACGTCCTACAAGTGATCATTTTTAGTTTTCCTGAATTTTCGATCGGTCGAGACAAACATGAACTCATATAGGAGGCAAATCAGACTTCAGTCACATCTTGGTGGATTTTCATTAGCTATAATTTGCAGGAAAAAAAAAGATAAATAAAAACAGCAACTAGTTCTCAGTCATACAAAAAGAGATCCTAACTCAATTCTCCTGAGTTTAATGTTCTGAGTCAGCACAGCTGGTGTGTTTGCAATTTGTCCGCGCTACTGAGACGTCTGCTGTGACCTTATTACCCATCTGCTTCGCTCTGAGCTGTGTGACCAGGAAGGCAGAATTCAGCTTGCCGTCAGCAGCCTCGCAGCTCCTGAGAAGCCTTTCCAGGTATAAATATAACGTCCATCTATCAACCGAACAGGTACGCAAATGTGGGAAGGCAATAACAGAAAAAAACAGATGTTGGGGATTTGTTTCAAATATATGGTGCAGCTTTATTATAGAGCCCCGAGTACAGGATGTGAAGCAGGTGTGTTGTATTAAATCTCGTCATTCAGGCTCATGCACAAGGAAGAGGAGGGGTGTACGTAGGCACACGCAAAAACGTAGTTCAGATCATCAGAAGTATCTAGACTGGATTTACAAATATGAACCATTCAGGGTTCGTAATCTGATCTAGATCTCGGCCTTCAAAGGCTTATCTGGACATGAAGGTACTACGCTGGAGAACACAAGTAATTTGAGTTATCTTCTCTATCAGTGAATTAGTAGATGAAGATGAAGCAAAACCATTGCTGAATTAAAGTTTTACTCATTTTGGTTCCCATTGCAGAGCAAAAAGGGGGTGTTGGAAATACAGTACCCTCTGTCCATTCTTGAATGTTGTGAACAAAATAACTTGAAAATTAAATGAGGTGCTGACTTCCATTTTGGTGTGTGGGTTCATCTAGGCCATATGTGTCAAACTCAAGGCCTGGGGGCCAAATGTGGCCCTCGACATCTTATCCGGCCCCCAAGATGTTATTTAAAATTTAAAACACTTTTGTCACTTTAATTTTTATTCAGTGCTCTTTGATTATGATGTCAAAAGTGCAACGGAGAACGTCAAATGAGACCAATCAAACTCTTGTTGAGGAAACTGCAACCAAGAAAAGATGTCGGGCCTCTAACTTGAGTTAATGTAGATTCTGAAACCGGCCCTTAGTTTGAAAAAGGTTTTAATTTTGGCCCCCTTTTGTAAGTGGGTTTGACATCCCTGATCTAGGCATAAGAAAGGTTAATTTAGAAAAATGGGTTGTCAGTCACATCAAAATCCAGGAGCCCCCCATCATATGTACTGTATGTAAACCGACCTTTCTAGTTTTTATGTTGCATGAAAGTTTCCGCAAATTATTGGGGTGGCTGAAGATTAAACTATGGCAGCCAAGGCCACCACTGACCACTCCCTGGCTCCGTTGTTGCACCCGGTGGTGGATAATTTTTAAAAATTTTGATCACCAGGATCCGTCACTCTGCGCCACCTCGAATAATTGACACTTGAACATTTTGCACCAAAAACAGTAAGGTTGACGTGCATTCCCTGTTCAACTCCAGTTCAGAATGAAGTTTTGTTTATTTTTTTTTCCTACACAAATGTAATAAATTCTCTCAATATCCTAAATTCTGTTGCATAAATTCAACAAATAAACGTGTTGCGTAAAAAAAAAAAAAAAACCTAAGCTAGTTAAAAGTCTGCACTCTGCATTGCTTTAGTGCTAAAGGCGTAGTACCTACTACTACCACAAGGGGGCGATGCGATCATTGCACCAAACACACTGACGTCTATATAGCAGGCGTCTATAGAGCAGGCATCACACACACATAAAGCTGACAATGCATATCACTGTCAGCTAATCTCTGTTGTTCTGTTTTTCCCCACTAAGGTGATTTGATTGGAACAAACAGAAAACAACACGCTGGATGATAAACATTATGTGGTCAAATTACTCCACTGATACACCTGTTCAAACGTGAGCAACACTGATCTGTTATTCTGTCTGGGCTGAGCTGCCGCCATAATAATCACATAGAAGAGTTCATACCGCCACCACAAGTTGAGCTGCAACGTAAAACCACCTGAACGGAGACCTGCTTGTATGTCACCCTTTTAAAAAGGTCACTTCCATTTGATTTAACATTCAAGGGGACATTTAACACAAACCTCTGATTTCAGAATGAATCGATCAAACAAATGATTGAACAAACATACAAGTCACATTTTTAATCACTTACATTCATGTGATTTTTGTGGTGTTTTGTAACTGCTCTATACAATGCAGTATTTTAATGCAACAAGCTTATTTTAAAGCAGGTTGCTGTTTGCTTTTTCAGTTCTGTTAAATGTATAAAGTAATTCATTCAGTAACTCAAAGGGACAGTGTTTATCATTGACAACAATGTAAAGGTTGAGAAATTAGTGTTTACACAAACCACAAGTAAATTTATTAAATTGGAGTTGTTTTAAGATGACAACATTTCACTGGTTTTGGTCCTGCTTTGACTAGCTATTCAAAACTCTCCAAAGTCATAATATTCAAAGAGCTATCTGTAGCAGGTAAGACATTACTTGTTCTTACCTCTCCACTGAACCTCACTTTACAAAGTTTGAATTATTTCACATTTCTAGCCCACCTTTTTCTTTCACTATTTAATAAAGATAAATGCGTTTAATTTGCTCACTTATAATCCAAAAACCTTCTGGGTCTCTAACATTG